CGCCGAAAGATCGTTCCAAGACGCCCAAGATGGCCTCCAGACGGCCGTAGCGCCAAGAAACCGCGGGGAGACTCAGGAGGCCCTCCAAGAGCCTGAACAAGCAAAAACCTCCCAGGCATTCGTCACCCCAGGGCCTCCTGGAACGCCCCGGCGCCCAATGAATTGGCGAGCTAAAAACGTGCGCCGAGCCAAAGCGGGAGCGCAACTTTGAGAAAATTTCGCTCGGCGCCCAAGCGAGAAGGTCATTTCATTCACTTCGAGCGGGGGGGGGGGTGTGCCGCGCCCAATTCTTGCCATGCACTTTTGCGGGGTGGACGACAAGAGCAGCTATGTGGGCAAGCGAAAATCAACATGGCATTGCTTCTGACAAGTAAGGTGGCCCCTCCCGCGCGATGTGCGCCGCGCCCCAATCCTGCCACGCATTTCGCATCGTCGATGACAAGACAGGCCATGATGAAAGGAAAAACGGCAACTCTGTATGGTTATTTTTACAGTCAGGATGGGAGGGCCCGCAGCCCGCATGGACGTCCGCGCGCGATGCGCGCCGCGTCCCATTCCTGCCACATATCTCGCACCGTCGGCGACAAGGCAGGCCATGCTGACAGGACAAAACGGAGACCTTGTATTGATTTTTTACAGTCAGGATGGGCGGGCCCGGATTGACGGCCGCGCGCGATGTGCGCCGCGTCCCATATGTGCGCCGCGTCCCAGTGCTGCCACATATTTCGCACCGTCGGCGACAAGGCAGGCCATGCTGAGAGGAAAAAACGGAGAATTTGTATTGATTCTTTACAGTCAGGATGGGTGGGCCCAGATTGACTGCCGCGCGCGATGTGCGCCGCGTCCCATTCCTGCCACGCTTTTCGCATCGTCGACGACAAAAAAGACGATGTTGAGAAGAAAAACGGCAACTTTATATTGATTTTTTTTACAGCCCGGATGGGAGGTCCCGGATTGGGGTGCTATCGGCCGGAATGCGACGTAGGTGCAAAGATGGGGGGGGGGCGTGGGGGGTGTGCCGTGCCGAAATAAAAGGGGTCGGGGCGGAGGGGTGTGCCGTGCCGACATAAAAGGGGTCGGGGCGGAGGGGCGCGCTGGCTGGTGGGTGGGGGGAGGCGGAGGGGGTGTGCCATGCCGTAATAAAGGGGTCGGGGCGGAAAGAAAGGGGTCGGGGCGGAGGGGCGCAGTGGCTGGTGGGTGCTGGTGGGGGTCGGGGCGGAAGGGTGTGCGCTGGTGGGGGTCGGGGCGGAGGGGTGTGCCGTGCCGAAATAAAAGGGTCGGGGCGGAGGGGCGCACTGGCTGGCGGGTGCTGGTGGGTGGGTGGATGCGGGGGGGGGATGGAGGGTCGCGCTGGCTGGTGGAATGTGTAGGTGATGAGGGGTGTGCCGTGCCGAAATAAAGTATTCGGAGCTCTAGACACCCTGTGCAAAAAAATAATGGCCATGTGGTTCGCCGTCCGGGACACCTGGATGTCCTGCGGCGCGCGATCCGGTCGCGGAGGAGGTTCCGCATTCGACCGCGCGCGGCGACGACGCCTCGACGAGTTCCACAGCACCCAGCTAACGCTCGAGCTCTTACGACAACAGGGCGAGCAGCGACGACGGGCCGCGCGGATTTGGGCCGAACCCTCTACCAATCCACCTCCTGCGCCGGCCGCCGCACAGACTGCGTTCCGCGGCGCGGTCTTCAACGGCGACGATCGGGAATGTCCTATCTGTGTCGATGTTTTCGTACATGCTGATCAATTTGTACGCTTACAGGGCCGCCTCATTTTGCACCGGGCATGCCGCCTGTGTTGGTGTTGGTGCCCATTTCTTGGCCTCCATCATCTGGCGCTTGGTGGTGTCGCACTTGGTCGCGGGCACCTCGACCGCCACGTCGCGGCTGTCGCCGCGCTTGGTTATCGCCCGCTGCGGGGGCCCCTGCCCCTGCGTCGAGGGCCTGGCGGGGGGGTCTGCGCCACCGAGTCGCGCAACGGCCGCCGCCACCTTCTCGCACGCACGCAGCTCACTTGTTTCCGATTGCGCATCACACGATCGGGGTCTTTTTTGGACTTCCAGGTCGGCGATGACAGGCGTCCGCGGATAGAGACAAAATCAGCGCAGTGGGACTGGACGGGAGGGAGAGTGAGGACGTTAGATATGGCGCGAGCGCAAGTAGCTTCCCCCGCCTCTCCCCCCTCCGTTCTCCGTCGCCTGTCCTCGTTGCTTTCCTCCCCCTCCTCGTCCTTGTCCCTTGTCGCACCGCCTACTCCTGCTCCATTTCCTTGCTCTTCCCCCTTCGCTTCCCTTTCCCCTCCTTCGTGTGAGCCTGACCTTCCAGAGGCATGCGGATCCTTAGCACCCCGAGCTGTTCCATCAGCGTTTTGAGGGTGGGTGGGTGGGGGGCTAGAATTAAGTCGGGCGCGTCCCTCTACAGGAGGAATATCCCCAAATAGTCAAACATAGCATCGGGATGAGTGTTTGATTTTTTTTTGGCTATTTTTACTATGTGACTCTTTTTCGTTTTTCCGCCTGTAGGGGGACATGCCCGATGTAAGGCCAGAAGTGGACTGCGCCCGGCGGAGCGCGGAGGTGTGCACTGCGTGAGGAGGGAGTTCGCTACGCGTTCTGGGGGGTGGGCGGACAGGGCCGTCGGGCGGGGCGGCGCAACGGGGGGAGTGCCTCTGTAGCACTCTGGGAGTCTCCTGCCTCGCCCTCCCCGCTGCCCCTCGCCCTCCTCGCCCTCCCCTTTTCAGTGCCCCCCCCCTTCCCGAGGACCTCCTTGGACATCTCGAGGCCTCGCCTCGATGGTGGGCGCGTCGCCCCACGAGGGATCGAGGGGGGGGGAAGCACAGTTCGATTTTCGAATCTGGTTGACGCTGCTCCCAACCATCCCGCGTTGAGTTGGGTCCCTGTTTTGAATACGCATCGCCCCGCGTCCTTTTTTTTCCCCCCTGCTGCTGCTGCTGCTGCTGCTGCTGCTCCTCCTCCTCCTCCTCCTCCTCCTCCTCCTCCTCCTCCTCCTCCTCCTCCTCCTCCTCACTCCTTCTCGCTCCTCCTCGCTCCTCCCATCCCTGCCCTTGCTCTCCGCATGCCCAGTCCGGCGCGCCCCTCACGAACTTCGTGGCTCCACAGGGAGCTCCACCTGAGGCCAACCATTCTGCGCCCGCATGCCTGGTCCGCGCCATTTCGGCGCACCCCTCGCCTGTTTCGTGGCCCAATGGGGGGGGCTGCTCCACCGAAGGCTAGACAAATCGCCGCCCGCACGCCTGGCCCACGCCATCTGGGCGCACCCCTCGCACGTTTCGTTTCCCCATGGGGAGCTTCACCTGCGGCCCCAAAAGTCTGCGCCCGTATGCCTGGCCCACACCATTTCGGCGCACCCCTCACACACTTCGTGGTTCCACAGGGGGCTCCTTCTACGTCCAAATAATCTGCGTCCGCATGCCTGTTCCTCTCCATGTCGGCGTACCCCTCACACGTTTCGTGGCCCCATAGGGAGCTGCTCCTTCTACGTCCAACAAATCTGCGTCTGCATGCCCAGTCCGCGCAATTTCGGCGTACCCCTCACACGCTTCGTGGCCCCACTGCGCCCGCATGCTGGATCCACGCCATTTCGGCGTGCCCCTCACACGCTTCGTGGCCGCTCAGGGAGCTCCACCGAAGGCCGAGATATCTGAGTCCGCATGCCTGGTCCTCGCCATGTCGACGCACCCCTCATACGTTTCGTGGCTCCATAGGGGGCTCCACCTGATGCCACAAAATCTGCGCCCGCATGCCCGGTCCACAACAGTTCGGCGCATCCCTTACACGCTTCGTGGCCCCGTAGAGGGCCCCACCTAAGGTACAAGGCCCCATTCGCAGGTTCTGCCTACCTGGTCCACGCCATTTCTGCGCACCCCTCACACGCTTCGTGGCCCCATGGGGAGCTCTACCGACGGCCCCAGAGGCAGGGTCCGCATACCTGGTCCACGCCATTTCTGCGCACCCCTCACTTGCTTCGTGGCCCCATGGGGAGCTCCACCGAAGGCAGAGACATCTGAGCCCGCATGCCTGGTCCACGCAATTTCGGCGCACCCCTCACACGATTCATGGCCCCATCTGGAGCTCCACATGAGACACCATCGGCTGCGTTCGCATGCTTTCTCCACACCATGTCGGCGCACCCGTCACACGTTTCGTGGCCTCATAGGGAGCTCCGCCTAAGGCTCCAGTGGCTGCGTTCGCATGTTCTCTCCGCACTCTTTCGGCGCACCCCTCACACGTTTCGTGGCCCCATAAGGGGGCTCCACCTGAGGCGTTGCGCCCGCAGACCGGCGCACCCCTGACACGTTTCGTTGCCCGATAGGGAGCTCAACCTGATTCGCATGCCCCAGTGGCTGCGTTCGCATGCCTTCTCCACACTTGTGTCGGCGCACCCGGGCCCGACAGGGGGCTCCACCGAAGATTCCAGTGGCAGGACTCGTATGTGTGACCCCGCCCAGTTCGGCGCATCCCTCACTCACACGCTTCGTGGCCCCACAGGGAGCTCCACCGAAGGCCCCAGTGGCAGGACTCGCATGCGTGACCGCACCTATTTCGGCACACTCCTCTCACGTTTCGTGGCCCCACAGGGACCTCCACCGAAGACCCCGCCTGCTACCCCCCAGGACTGCGCCGACGGACGTGCAGATCATTTGTACCGGGTTGCATCCAGACGTAACCCGCTACGGCTGACCTTTGCGATCCCATCAGCACTTTTGCCACGTTTTTCCCACGCACGCCTTGGTTCTTTTGCTTAGCCCCTTCCCTTGGTTTCCACCTGTCCCGCGGTACGCACAACTGCACATGGGCTCCTCGCCAGGATACTTTTGTTTGCGTGCTTGTTTGTTTGTTTGGTTGGTTGTTCGCTTGTTTGTGTGTTGTTTTGCTTGTTTGTTTGTTTGGCTGTTTGTAGTAATACTTAGTACGTTTTGATTGGGCGTGTCGCCGCGTCCTCACCTGGCGCCGCTCCCGCCGATGCCCCCCCCCGACGTCAAGTGGCTCTTTGACCAGCTGGAGGGCCCCGTCTACGTGGACGGCTGGGAGGACCGCAACGACTGCACCGTGGTGCGCGGGGGCACCGAACAGCTCCAGGCCCCCCGAGTGGGTCCGGAGTGCAGTCAATCCTAGGCCTCCGAGCTAGGGTCGGAGTGGACGGGGTCGGAGGATCGCGCTGCATCGCCGATGCATCGGTGATGCATCGGCGATGCGGCGCGATGTGGGGCCCAATGTTCTCCACGCCAGCGTCGCGGATGTGTCGCCGACGCCGCAGGTGCACGGCAGATGCATGGCTCACGCGTCGGCGGTGCATCGCCGATGCATCGGCGGTGCAGCGAGATCCTCTGGTCCGATCTACAGTGGGGGCGCGCATCAAGAAACCATATGCTTTTCGTCAGGGTTTCCTGGGTTTCTCCGCTCCTCGCGCTGCGCGGTGACTTCCCGCAGCCGTCGAAGGGGTTGCTGCGTTCAGGGTGCTCTAGGTTTCCCCTCAGGTGCACCTCGCGCACGGGTTCTCAGTGTTGGGTTTATTGCGAGGGTTTCTTGCGGCCGCGCCCGCACTGTACTCGGACCCCATCTAGGAGGTCTCTAGTCAAGCAGGATCATAAGGACGAGTAACTTCCCAAGGGCACCTTTCCATCCTTACTTATTCGGCCCATCATTGCTGAAGCCACCGTCGTCGTCCATTTTCGCTCAAGAGGCTTCGACCTGGGCGTCAAGGTCCTTGCATCCTTACCGCGCCCTATGATCCTATGATCCTGTCGCGCTGCAGACGGGGTCGGAGGATCGCGTCGCATCGCCAATGCATCGGCGAGATACTGCATCCAATTATCCCCATCCCGACGTTGAAGATGCACGTGCGATTCTGCGCGGTCCTCCGACGCCATCTGCTCCAGCCCCATTTCGGGATGCTGCCTATAGCAGATCCGCAGCTGGTGGCTATAACCGCCATCATCCCTGGCCAGGGCAATCCTGGGCCCCAGGATGGTGTGTAGACCTTTGTCGAGGCCAGGAGATGGTCTTCGCTCCTGCGCAGTCGACGGGCGTCCACTGCCCAGCGACCTGCTCACTCCTCCGAGCAGCAACTTGTCTTCTGCAGGAGGATCAGGAGAGTGAGGGAGGAGGGAGGAGGGCCGAGGAGGAGGAGGGAGCAAGGAGATGTACCCTGGAGGTGGATGTTCCCTCGGACTGCATCGGCTACATCACCGGAAACCGGCGAGCGACGCTGGGGCAGATGGAAGAGGACCGGCATATTCTTCTTTGTTGCGCCCTCGCCCGCGTGGTGCTGCCGCACTTCCCCGCTCTTCCCTGTTGCTCAACGGGAAGGGTGGAGGGATGGCATTCAGAGGGTTGATTACCTACCCCGCTTTCGCTTCCAGGCAAAACCAAGTAATACCGCGCTCCTCCTCGTCCAGTGAGGTTTTTTTGTATAGAAGCCGTGTATTTCACCGAAGGTATTTTTTGGTCGTTGAGTGGCCATTAGCGGCGAATAGGGGGTGATAGGTGGTCGGTTGATGCGGGGCGTGTGCGGCTATTTGCCACTAATCATTCGGTTGCCGCTATTTGCTGCTAGCCCGCTAACACCTTGACTAAGATAGGCTTCATCAAACGAGCGTAAGTCAAGCAGCTGGACCGTTGCTGGCCACTCCAGGGGTACCTTGTTGTCCTTCGGATCCCGTTGGGGAGCGAGGGTGGCCCAAAGCGAGGCAGGCTCGTCCGTCTATTAGACACTCGGCGACCGACGCAGCAGGTATCCAAGCCGCACGGAGCAGCGATGGGCTGCGGCACGGCCATGACGGAGGCGGCGCGCGCACCACTTGGAGCACGCGCCAGTTGGAGTGCCTGATGTGGGGATCGTTGAGTCCCGCGCTCGCTCCCTTTACCGGTCCCAAGGTCACCGTGCGGCTGGTACAAGGAGCGAGCGACCTCGCGCGCGCAGCCCAGCATTCGCGGCGGCGCCTGTGTCGCGGCGCCCATGCGTCGCGCGCCCGCGCTGCAGCGCGCGCGCGCGAGGCGCTTGTGATTTTGCGCAAACCTTCTCGTGGAACTATCTGTTGCTCACGCTTGCATCATCGGGCGGGCACACGTGAAAGAGATGGCTGTGTGCGAAGACTGCTCAAGACCTGGCCGAAGACTGCGATCCGGCGGCGCGACGAGGGGGGACGTGAGCGGGGGGCAAGGCCTTCTCGGAAGGCGGCGGGGCGTGTCAGAAGCCCTCCGCCCCTCTGAGAGGCCCCCAGCAAGCTTCGGAGAAGCGCAGAAAGTTTCTTTCATACAGCCAGATGCCTTCCGAGCCTTCCGAGCAGGCCCGCCCCCTCTCCCCCCCCCTGGGCGCGCCGCCGAGTGATGAGGCTGTGTGGGAGGGGTGCTTTTTTGGGGGGGATCTACTCGTAAGTTGGGCCTGTCCCTCTACAGGAGGAATATTCAAAAATAGTCAAGAAATAGTCTGGGGACTATGTTTTCAGTATTCTTGACAGTTGTGGAATATTTTTGGAGTATTTTTATTTTTCGTCGAAAGTCCCCTTGTAGGGGGACACGCCCGGCTTAACCCTGGGCGCGCCGCCGAATGATGAGGGTGCGTGGGAGGCGTGCTTTTTTGGGGGGGGATCCACTCTGGGGGTGGCTGCGGCGCAGCCGCCTCGCCGGGCCCCTCGCAGAGCTCGGCGGCGGCCGTCGCGCGGCCGCCGCCTACGCACCATGCTGGCGCCTCCTGTGCCGCCGCGATCGCGGATCGCGGCCCGCGCCGCAGCCTTTGGGCACAGCAGAGATCGCGGCCCGCGCCGGATCGCGGCCCGCGCCGCAGCCCGATGCCGCGGCTTAAACTCACCCCCCTGCGTAAATTCCCTGGTGGCCCGGCGCGTGGTTTTCTTCAACAGAGCGAACAGCTTTCCTGCGTGCACGAGTAGCGTAGCTTTGGCGCGCCAGACCGTCGCACGCGCGAGCTTCGGCGCGCCAGAGTGTCGCACGCGCCGGTCTGCTCTAGCGCAGCCAACGCGAGCTCCAATCTGATTCGACTGCGGGTCGTTGCGAGCGCGATCGCTTGAGCATGCAGTACACGAGCTTCAGCATCTGGCGTCTCTGTTGTTGCTGTTATGATGCGGGCGCCCCGACGCGGGCGCCTGCGTCTGCCCTGGCCGATTGGGTGGGCATTGCGAGATTTTGCAAGTTTAGGGGTCTCTCGTGCTTTCCGTCGGCTCTTCTTTCTTGTATTTTCCGCGCGTGCGGGTTTCCGGCAGGATCGCCCGTAAGATGCAGGTTGCGAGCGCCCTTCATCAGCTGTTTTTTTTTGGGGGGGGGGCGTGGGGGCGTGCGAAAGTGGCACGCCGACCAACTGCAACGCAAGCACACACAAAAGTACAACTAATGTTCTTCCCGCTCGCCCGCGCCCCCTGACCCCCCTCCCGCGGCAAATCCCCCCCCAGAGGACCAGTGCCAATGTGCGTTTTCATAGTGGGAGTGTTCTGTGAGATGGTGGTATCTCCGAGCTTTCGGGCGTTCGCTGAGCGGCCTGAGGATGGCTACGATGAGGAAGGGGGGGACCCCCTCCTCCGTGGTTCTCATCTTGTCCCTGTTTCCTGTTTCTCAGGATTCCCCGTGCCCTTTTCCTGCAGCTGTTGCCCCCCCCATCCGCTGGCCCCCCTCGCCCGCGGTTGCCCCCCTCCCAGGACTGGGGCGTATTGATGTTCTTCATGAACAAGGGCGAGGACAAGGGCCGCAGCAGAGGCCCCTGTCTGGGGGGACGGGTGGCCGCTGGGACCGATCGTTCCGCCCCGAGGCGCTCGGGGGCCCTCGGCGGCTTTTGGCGGCCCTCGGCGGCCCTCGGCGGCCTTCCGCAGCCCCCGGCGGGCCTTCGGCGGCCCCTCGGGTGTCCTCGGCGGCCTTCGGCGGCCTCTGCGGCCCCCGGCGGCTCGCGGGCGCCCTCGGTGGCCCTCGGCGGCCCTCGGCGGCCCTCGGACGTCGCGGGTCTCCCGCGGCCAGCCCCGCGCCTCCCCCGCCGCCCTCTCGCGCCTCTGGGGGCCCCGTGGGGGCCGTTGCCGGGGGCCTGGCGGGGCCGCGCTCAGAAGCCTCGAGCCCTGACCCTCGAACTTCGACCTGGCCCTCGACGCTCAGTTCCCGACAGGTTCGGGTTCCCCGAGGGTTTCGCGGGAGCAGCCATATAGATAGACAGGAACAGCCAGGTCCAGACGAGCCCGAATGCCAGAGCAGTCCCGGCATGCCGGGGGAAATCGCGACAGCCCCAGCGCGAGTCCCGGGTCGGGCGAAAGAAGGGCTGGTAAAAGGGGGGGGGTGAGCGAATCAGCGCAAGTACGGCAGGCTCGCGCTGTGTCGACCAGCGGCGACCCCACCGCCGGCGTTCAGCGTTGCACGCTTCCGGCGACCCAGAGTGGGGCAGATGCTGAACGATCTGGCTCTCGGAAGAACGCCCGATCGTTCCAGGTTTAAGGCGGGCGTGTCCCCCTACAGGGGGATTTTCGACGAAAAGTAAAAGATATTCAAAACATGCTCGAAAATGATCAAAAAATATGCAAAAAATAGTGCCCAGATTATTTTTTGACTATTTTTGATTATTCCCCCTGTAGAGGGACATGCCCGACTTAATTCCAGGTGGAACGCTCCCCGCGGTGTCAGAAGCCCGCGCCTACCATGGCACGAGCCTGCCGCAGCAGAGGGGGCGGGCAGCGAGCTGGCTCGAGGAGCTGGCTTCCCCTGGCGCCTCACTGGGCACGGGAGGCGTCGGTGTACCGCGGAGAAGCCGCAGGGCAGGGCGTCGGGCCGAGAGAGCCGCGGAGGTCGCGGTCCCCTTGTGCCATAGGCCCCCTGTGTCGGGGGCGGCCAAGAGGGGGGTGAGGACTAGGGGGGGTAGATATCATCATACCTACCGGTGTGATCTCGCACTGCTTTATTTCGACCGACCGTGTGCCCATAATGCGGTCGTGCTGGTGGTTGTGCTGGGCTGGCGGCCGTGCTGGTGGTCGTGGTTGGTGGACGTGCTGGTGGTCGTGCTGGTGGTCGTGCTGCTGGCCGTTCTGGTGGAGGTGCTGACAGTCGTGCTGGTGGTCGTGCTGGTACTTGTGCTGGTGGTCGTGCTGGGGAGGTGCTGGTGGTCGAGCTGGTGGTCGTGCTGCTGGCTGGTCGTGCTGGTGGTCGTGCTGGTGGTCGTGCTGGTGGTCGTGCTGGGCTGGTGGTCGTGCTGGTGGTCGTGCTGGTGGTTGTGCTGGTGGTCGTGCTGGTGGCTGGGCGTGCCGGTGCTTGTGCTGGTGGTCGTGCTGGCGGTCGTGTTGGTGGCCGTTCTGGTGGAGGTGCTGGTGGTCGTGCTGGTGGTCGTGCTGGTGGTTCTGCTGGTGGTCGTGCTGGTGGCTGGCCGTGCTGGAGGTGCTGGTGGTCGTGTTGGTGGTCGTGCTGGTGGTCGTGCTCGCGGTCGTGTTGCTGGCCGTTCTGGTGGAGGTGCTGGTGGTCGTGCTGGTGGTCGTGCTGGCCCCTCCCCCTCCCCCCCTGCGCCCCCCTCCCCTTATTCCGACCGACCGTGGGCCACCCCCCCCGCTTCTCCCCTGCGCCCCCTTCCCATTATTCCGACCGACCGTGGGCCACCCCCCCCGCTCCCTCCCTGCGCCCCCCTCCCCTTATTCCGACCGACCGTGGGCCACCCCCTCCGCTCCCCCCTTGCGCCCCCCTCCGCTTATTCCGACCGACCGTGGGCCCCCCCCCGCTCCCCCCTTGCGCCCCCGTCCCCTTCTTCCGCCCGACCGTGGGCCACTCCCCCCGCTCCTCTTCTGCGCCCCTCTCCCCTTATTCTGACCGACCGTGGCCCCCCCACCGCTCCCCCCCTGCGCCCCCGTCCCCTTATTCCGACCGACCGTGGGCCACCCCCCCCGCTCCTCCCCTGCGCCCCCCTCCTTTTTATTCCGACCGACCGTGGGCCCCCCCCCCCTCCTCCCTTATATTTCCGACCGACCGTGGCCCTCCCCGCTCCTCCCCCTGCGCCCCCCTCCCCTTATTCCGACCGACCGTGGCCCCCCCCCCCCGCTCTCTCTTGCGCCCCGTCCCCTTATTCCGACCGACCGTGGGCCACCCCCCCGCTCCTCCCCTGCGCTCCCCCTCCTCTTATTCCGACCGACCCGTGGGCCACCCCCCCGTCCGCCCTTGCGCACCCCCCCCCCTTATTCCGACCCGACCGTGGCCCGCCCCCCCCGGCCCTGGCCCCGCCCATGCCCCCCCTCCCCTGCGCCCCCCTCCCCTTATTCCGACCGACCGTGGGCCCCCCCCCCCGCTCCCCCCCTGCGCCCCCTTCCCCTTATTCCGACCGACCGTGGGCCACCCCCCCCGCTCCCTCCCTGCGCCCCCCTCCCCTTATTCCGACCGACCGTGGGCCACCCCCCCCCTCCCCCCTTGCGCCCCCCTCCCTTATTCCGACCGACCGTGGGCCCCCCCCCCTCCCCCCTGCGCCCCCCTCCCTTATTCCGACCGACCGTGGGCCCCCCCCCCGCCTGCCAAGGACTGCCTCCCTCGCGATCCCTGGTTTTCTCCATCTCCCATGGGCCCACATCGTCATTGTATGATCCTTGGCACGCGTGCCCCTTGTCATGGCGTGGGCCATGATATTTCCCCAGATTTCATGGCGCCTCTTTTCATTTCATTGCGTCCCTGGCCCCCCCCCGTGGGCCGCGCACATGCCGCCGGCCATGATTTGCACCCCCCCCTCTTGGACGCCCCCCTCTTTGCCGCTCCCGACCTGGGCGTCCGGCCCGGGAGTTCAGGGGCAACGAGAGGGGGGGATAGGCATAGCCGGCGGCGAGCGAGGGGGAGAAACGAGAAGGAGAAGGCCTTCTCAGAAGGCGGCGGGCCTGCTCAGAAGCCCATCGTGCCTTCTGAGAGGTTTTTTTGTGTCTTCGGGGAAGGCTCAGAAAACTTCTCAGAAGGCCTGGGGACTTCCGAACCTTCTGAGAAGGCCTTCTCCTTCTCACTTCCCCCCCTCGCCCGCCGCCGACATATGGGGGGTATACATCGACCCCCAAGCCCCCCCCATTGATCGCCGATAGGGGTCTGACAGCTCCAGCCTGCCCAGGAAGGTGCGGATTCATTGCTGGGGGCCTGTCGCCGATCTATCGGCGATGCATCGCAGATTCCAGGTCGATGCAACACACCCTATGCCAGTCCCCTCCAATCGTTGCCTCCCAAGATTCGAGGATGCGGGGGCAGCAGCCGACCATGACCACGTCGCTGACATAGCCCGGGTAATGTCCTGCGCATGCCAACAATCGTCTGAACACCGAATCCGGCTCAGAGCCGGTTGTGGTCCACGTGGCGTCCCAGGACGGCCCAGCCGACCACAACCACGACCAACGTGGTCATGTCGAGTTCGGTGGGTTCTTCCCCGATTGGCCCTCCCGAAAGATATCCACTTAGTCGTGGTTGGGTTTTTTTGCTGTGCCTGGAGCGGGAAGGCAAAAGTCGTCGAGCCCTTGGCGACTGGTTGAGGGCAGCTCAGTCGGCACCTCGATGGGCGGGCGTCCGCGGGCGTGCTGCGAGCTGGCGGCCAGGTGGGGGTGCAGAGCGGCCGTTCGGGGTCGGCGCTGTTTTGTTTCCGGGGGTCAGAGGCATCGAGGTTGAAACCAACACCACTATCGGCGGGGCGCTGTCCACCGAGCGAAGAGTCTATCCAAGTCTCGGCGGTGGTGGTGATATTCGAGCTTCTAGGTGGCCGAAAGATGACAACCAACACCGACCTAGTTACGCTGCCGCGCGATTCGGCCGCCGCGCCCAGGCGGGTGGGCGAGGGCGCCTTCGGAGGGGGGGGGGCGGAGAGGGGAGAGGCCACAAAACATTTTTTTTTCGTAGACTGAGTGCGTGGGGCCATTTTCTGCCTGTAGGGTTAAAATCGGAGGGATTTGGCCACGCCAGTGAATGCACCTTCGACTCGATGCATGCGTCGGGGGCCCTAGTGATTGTAGCTTTGCAGAAAGCGAAGAGGCCCGACGCACACCAACCGCTGTAAGCGCGGTGGCGGACATCTAGGATCCTCTTCCCTTGGTGGGAGCACCCCCCGTGTGTTGGTCTTGGTGCCCACTCCCAAGGCGCCAGGGCCGCAGTGCCCGCGGAGTTGCCTCCTTTTCCCTGTTCTCGTGTCTATCGTCGTCGTCGTCGTCGTCGTCATCGTCGCCGTCGTCGTGGTCGTCGTCGTGGTCGTGGTCGTGATCGCGGTCGTCGTCGTCGTCGTCGTCGTCGTCGTCGTCGTCGTCGTCGTCGTCGTCGTCGTCGTGGTCGTCGTCGTGGTCGTGGTCGTGATCGCGGTCGTCGTCGTCGTCGTCGTCGTCGTCGTCGTCGTCGTCGTCGTCGTCGTCGTCGTCGTCGTCGTCGTTGTGGTCGTCGTCGTCGTCGTCGTCGTCGTCGCTACGAGCTGGCGGGGCGAGGTGGAGGTTCAGCACGGCACTTCGGGGTGGACGCGGCTGCCCGCCCGGGCCGTGCACTGGGCACGTCAAGCGAGACGCCAGCCCGTCCGCAGGTGCCGCAAAGGGAGATGCCTCGTTCCGCCCGTGGTCCCGGGGGCCCCTCGGAGTCCGGTGAAACCTCAGGAAGCTCAGAGGAGGAAAAGGTACCCATACCGCTGCCCTTGCCTCGTTTTCGCCGTTTTGGGTCTCCTGGGAGGCCCTCGTCGCCACAGGTGGATTCGCCTCGAAATCCCGGTCAGACCGCGCCCTGGGAGGTCCGGGGAGCAGTGGTATCGGTGCCTTCAGCTTCCCCAGAAGCTCAGGGCTCCATGGTAGGCGTGCCCTTTTATTAGTTTTTTCTGATGTATCCACTATGGTGCCTGCGGGGTTGCCTTCGCCCTGTCGTCGTCGTCGTCGTCGTCGTCGTCGTCGTCGTCGTCGTCGCTGGCGACCTTGGAGCCGTGGTACGGAGAGGAACCAACCCAGCGGGACGATGAAGGCAGACACGCCCATGCGGTTCTTCTGGGCCAGGCTGGCGTTGAGCGACTCTCGCGCGCAAGAGGGCACGAGATCATTGCCGCAGCACGCGTGCAAGAAGCCACCACGACGGGCCGCCGTCCTCCCTTCCCCCCTCCTTTCACCGAGGATCAAAGAAGCCCAAGAACTGATAGCAGAGTGAAGACGTGGCTTCACTGAAGGCCCCGTCTTCGCAATAGGGATGACAATGATGGGCGGTTTGGTTCGACGCGTGTGCAGAACGGACCCCCTATGCCTAATGTTTCTGGCCCCCGACCTCTTCCGCAGGGCCAGTTTTTTTTGTTTTTTTTTTTTTTTCCCCCCCCGAGTCGTTCTGTTGACGGTCCCGGAGCGCGGCGCGGGCCCCCAGGGGGCCCGAGAACGGCCAGAAGCTGTTTGCCATCGGTTTTGCACGATGCGAGCACGTCTGGGACTGGGTCCGACTGTCCGGGCAAGGCTCCGCACGGCCTGACCCGGCTGCCTGGGTCGTCGGAGGGAGATGGGGCCCACCTCCAGCGGGAAGGTCCAGGATGCCTCCCCGAGCTGGAGGCCGGGGATGTCTCGAGCGAGAGGGGGGGGGCCACACCACCAGGGAGACCCCCCTTGCCTCCTCGCGTCTCCTCGCCGTGGTGGTGTGGGTGTGGCCTATTCCTCGTTCCCGGGTCCGGGGTCGCCTCGCCTGCCTGCCCGCGCGCTTTGCGCAGGGCCCGCCCGAGCCGACCCGACCCGACACGTCCCGACACGAGTTTGGCGCCATTCCACCAGCTTGAGTGTTGCATCTGTTGCATATCCAGAACTCCTGGCCCAGGACGTCCCAATAGCTCTCCAAGAGTACCCCCAGGAGGCCCTCGAGAGGTCAGAGACACTGATGTCCTGATGGTTTTTGAATGGTTTTAGCATATTCGCTTTTAGGATCTTCACGATGTCTGGGGCAGCCCAAGAGGTGCCCAAGATCGCCCCAGTACGGCCGAAAGTGGCCCCAAGCAGCCTCCAAGTTGGGCCCAAGAAGGCCCAAGAGGCCTCAAGGTGCCCCATTTAGGACCCCTGTAGAAGCTCAAGACGGTCTCAGAGCACCCAAGACAGCCCAAGATGGGCCCAAGATGGGCCCAAGACGGGCCCAAGACGAACCCAAGAGATGCCCAATACGGCCCAGAGGGGCAGATCTTCAATCTAGATTCCAATATATTTCGTCTTTTTCTTCGAGTACGGCCTCTGGAGCCCGTTATCGAGCCTCAGGACTGTCAACACAACAATTAATCTGGGACGAATAATTCCCCCCAGGGAATGGGGTCAGGTTCTCTTGGGACGCGCAATGAAAATCGTATCGTCGGATGTTTGTGTACGGGCCGCCAGGTCCCGCAAGGAGAAGGAGCTTCCCCCTCGGCTGCACGTACGAGCGGCCTTTCGCCACAGGGGCCCTGGGGCGCGCTGCCTTCAGGGGGCGCGGGGGGGCTGAACCCCCAAGCACGCAGGTCGCTACTGCAGCATCGTGTGCAACGATTGGCAAGCTGCGCACCAGAGGATCCTCTTGACCAGGTGTAGCCGACCCCATGAGGGGGAAGCGGAAGGGCACGAGGGCGAGTATCGAGTGTGTGACCCCGAGGACGGTGCACCTCACTCGACAGAGAAGGCCCACGTTTCATCACACGGGTGCCGTCATTTACGCTCTTGTCGCTGTCGTCGTCCTTAGCCAGTCGTCCTCCTCCTCCTCCTCGTCGTCGTCGTCGTCGTCGTCGTCGTCGTCCTCGTCCTCCTCGTCCTCGTCGTCCTCCTCGTCGTCGTCGTCGTCGTCGTCTTCGTCGTCGTCGTCGTCGTCGTCTCTTCGGACCTCGTGCGTGCCTGGGCGCTGGGGCAGGCTCGGCCGAGAAGCTCATCATCTTCGGCGCGGAGCGCGCCCGCAGGGGCGCCGAGCTGAAGGTCCGCAGGGGAGCACGAACTAAGTGGGGGCGAGGGGGGGGAGGGATACGGCGGGCGTTGTAGAGATAGCGTGCGACGTGGCGCCGCAACAGGTGCATGGAAGACAACACACACCAACGGGACGGCGGCAATGAACTCACCGAAGGTATCGGTTTTTGAATGCAAGCAGTTCCCATTGAAGGCACATCTTTTGTCGGAAGGTCTTCTCTTTTATTCTGTAGGTTTACGCCACTTCCGCCGACCCCTTAACTGAGTTCAAGGTCTTGATGGTGCTTTTCGGTGTTTGGAGGGTTCACGTCGCGCAGTTGGCCAGTGGCAAGTGCCAGAAGAAATTGTCGAAGTCGACTTTCTCCGTGGACGCGAGCCATGTCGCGCGTGACGAGAAGAAGGGCACCTTGAAATGTCCAGTAGGGCGTCCGTGGCATGGCCCGTAGAAGTAAGAGCAACGGGGGTGCGAGCGAGAGGGAGGACGAAGCCGAACGCGGAGGAGGAGGTGAAAGAGGAGCAGGGAGGAGGAGGAGGAGGAGGTTCAAAAGGAACACAGAGGAGAAGGTGAAAGCAGAGGAGGAGGAGGAGGAGGAGGAGGAGGAGGAGGAGGAGGAGGAGGAGGAGGAGGAGGAGGAAAGAGGAGGAAGGAAGGAGGAGGAGGAGGAGAGGAGGAGGAGGAGGAGGAGGAGGAGGAGGAGGAGGAGGAGGAGGATGGGGGAGGCGGAAGGGGAGTCAAAGAAAAGGAGGAGGAGGAGGAGGAGGAGGAGGAGGAGGAGGAGGAGGAGGAAGGAGGAGGAGGAGGAGGAGGAGGAGGAGGAGGAGGAGGAGGAAAAGGAGTCACGATTTGGTCATGAGGCGTCACGGGGGTGCCTCAGAGGTAGTGTATGGGCCTCCTGGGGGTTGTATTGGAGCCTGTTGGGACCCTTTTGGGCCTCGCTTGGGGCTACCTGGGACCCTCTTGGGAGGTTCTTGCAGCTGGATGAGGGAATCTCGGAGCCAAAGGACCAAGCAGTTGCCCTCCCGGCTTCCTCTTGGAACCGTCTGGAGGCCCTCGTGGGCCGTTTTGGGCGCTTCTTGGGCCGTCTTTGGGCCCTCTTGGACCCCTCTCGGCAGTTGCCGAGGCCGTCCTGGGAGGATATGGAAGGTTTCATGGCCCGTGTCGGACGTTGAGAAACCGCAAGAGGCCAATATGGTAAAAATGAACGTTCTACGACGGGAATGGGACGATTTCTACTTTTTGGGGCTCGCTTGGGGCGCCTCTTGGAAGCCTCTTGGGTCGTCTTAGGGGCTTCGGGGGCTGCCTGGAAGCCATCGTGGGCGTCTGGGGCGCTTCTTGGGCCGTCTTTGGGCCCTCCTTGGACCTCTTCTCGGCAGTTGCCGAGGCCGTCCTGGGAGGGGATGGACAGTTTCATGGCCCGTGTCGGACGATGCGAAACCGCAAGAGGCCAATATGGTAATAATGAATGTTTTACGAGGGGAATGGGACGATTTCTGCCTCTTGGGGCTCGCTTGGGACGCCTCTTGGGGGCCTCTTGGGTCGTCTTGGGGGCTTCGGGGGCTGCCTGGAAGCCATCGTGGGCGTCTTGGAAGGATATTTCGGCGACATGTCGCCCTCTTGGACGGTCAGGGAGGCGTTTTGGTGCCCTCTTGGCTCGTTTTGGGGCCCTCTGTTCCCCAATTGCGCGTTCGGCGGTGGGTCGTGCCGGGCGAGGGGGGGGGTTGGGGGTCGATTTGACGGTTTGGAGCCCCAGGGGGGGCTTATGGGGGGGAGACTTTCACACGCCTGGGGACCCACAAGGGGTCGGCGGATTTTCGATTTTTTGTTACCGCCCCATGCCACACTTTCCCCCAGCTTGGGGATAATGTTGCACCGACGACGCCCTTGCATGGGGATAGCGTGCACAGAAGGGGCCCTTGCGGGTGATAGCGTGCACATGAACGGGCCCTTGCTGGGGCATCGCTTCACTGGGGTAGCGTGCCTTTCGGAGACTGATGTTGCACGCATTCTTTCCAACGCCAACCGTACTCCCGGCCGTCCCTGCAGACGGTCAGGGGGTTTGAGGAGGGGAGTGAGGACGAGGGTCAGTATCGTTCAACCGATCTGCCATTCGAAACCCGAAGAGAGCAACTTGTATTTCCATCGAGGGGGCAACTAGGCCAGTGGGGCCCAGCCCACGCAGGTTGGGGGTGGGGATCGGTGAAACGATGCTCAGAGGGTGTGCGGATATCCTGGCTGGTGCTGCGAAACCTCCCAGATCTCATGTCCCCCTTGGCGATCTTTTTTTATTCGTTGTTTTGCCGATCGGCGCGGGCCCTCGCCCCCCCCCTCCCCCCCATGGAGTAGATCTTGGTTGTTTTTTGGCGCCTGATTCGTGTAGGTGGAGCCTCCCCCGTAATGGACGCCCTGCTGCAAACAGTCGCACTCAACAGAGGTCTGGAGCCAGACCCCCTCCCCTCCCCCTCCCCTTCCGCCCAATGTCGAAACGCCATTTTTTGCGCAACCAATAAATTAAAAAAACGCCCTCATGTGTTCCCCCTTGTCTTCTTTCCACGCGCCACCGTGCCCCTCCTCGCCCACGCGCGCGCTTCGGGCCGCCGTGCGCGCGGCCCTGAGGGGTGGGGTTGGAGGACCCCGCCGCAGCGCGGGTGCACTGCTTCGGTGCGGCTCAGCCCGAGGCACTCGGAAAGCAGGGGGCAGCCAGTGCTGGCGTTAAGTCGGGCGTGTCCCTCTTTGCAGGAGGAGTGCTCAAAACAATCCAACAATAGTAGGGGGTCGATTTTTCTATTATTTGTTGTAAGTATTTTTTGAGTATGGCTTGGCTGTGTTGTGGCTATGTTTTATTTTTCGTCAAAAATCAGCCTGTAGAGGGACACGCCCGACCTGATGCTGGCGGCGCGGCGGACTGCGGCAGCTCCCGCGGAGGGAGCGAGAAGCCTGGCTGCTCACGGTCCGCGATGGGGAAACTCCTGGAGGTCTCGCGCGGCGCGCAATAGTTTTAAGTCGGGCGTTCCCCTCTACAGGAGGAATGTTCAAAAATAGTCCAAAAGTAGCCTGGGGACGATTTTTGACTACTTTTTTTTTTTTTTTTTTTTTTTTTTTTTTTTTTTTTTTTTTTTTTTTTTTTTTTTTTTTTTTTTTTTTTTTTTTTTTTTTTTTTTTTTTATATTAAATGTGGCTATTTTTAATTTTTCGTTCAAAATCCGCCTGAAGGGGGACATGCCCGACCTAACGATAGTTGTATCATTTAGTCGGCACGTCCGCTCCCGTCAGGTATGGGACGACGTTCGCGCGGCGATGCTTCCAGGTAAGTCCGACGTACGTCCGACGTGATTCCGATGTAAAAGCGACGCGAACCGACGTGGCCCCGACGTTGGATCCTACGTAGACCGGGTCTCAAGTTGCCGCGCGATGCTTCCAGCATTTTCCTCATAAGGTCCGATCCGTTCCGATCCCCAAACTTCGATATCGCTTTCGAGCCGATCCGATCTGGCGCGGCAAGCCTACCGACTGCTCCGATGGCTTGGTTGAGCCGTTAGCAGTCCGTTGAGGATTTCGTAGCGATGAGAAGCGATGGAGGAGAGGGGAGTCATGCCAGATGGTGGGCTGTCCGGGCCTCCAAAGAGGCAGGGTCCGTCCCGAAGCGTGGCCTATCTCGTTTGGGCACGGTCGAAATGGATACGGAAATCATGGGTACGTTGCCCAGCAGCACTTCCTGTTTATTTTGAACAGGGCTCGCTGTCCATGCCGCCTCTGGCCTTGTCCGTTCGAGGCAGAAGGCCGCCTGCCCAACAGCAGCCGCTGTCGGTTTTGGACAGAACTTGTTGTTGGGCATCGTACCCATGTTTTCCGTACAGTGGAGGCCCATGCTAAGAAACACCTTGCTTGCCTCCAGGGTGCCCTGGGTTTCTTGGGTTTCGATGGTTTTGTTGTGGACAGGGTGCCGTCCCCACGCCAAAAATCAAGGGACGCCCTGGGGTCTCAGAGTTGGATTTCTGGTGGAAGGTTTCTTGTGGTCGGGCCTCCACTGTACCCACTTCGGGCGGCCAAATCGTCGGCGGCGGGGGTAAAACACAGCGGTGTTAAGTCGGGCCTGTCCTCTACAGGAGAAAGATTCAAAAGTAGTAAAAAAATAGCCAGGGGTTGATTTCTTGACAATTTTTGACCATTTTTGATTTTGTGTTGGCTATTCTTATTTTTCGCCCATAATCCCCCTTCAGGAGGGCACGCCCGACCTGACAGTGGTGTCCCGGTGGTATTTGGCTTCTCGGTGCGGGTCGTCCTGCGCCCGCACGCCTGGGGCACCTGCTCTGGGGGTCTGTCGCTCCTGCCAGGAAGGCTTCGTCTCATGGCGCCAGCATTGCGGAGCGGACTTCGTGGGGAAAACGAGAGGATTCAGTCGGACTTGTCCCTCCACAGGGGGAGTAGTCAAACATAGTCCAAGAACAGTCTTGGGACGATATTTGGAGTATTTTCCAATATTTTTGAAGATTTTTTGAGTATTTTTCATTTTTCGTTCAAAATCCGACTGTAAGGGGACACGCCCGACCTAATGATAGGATGGGCCCGGAGTGTCCTGGAGAATTTCGTTCCGGATTTGGATATGAATTTCGTGCGGATTCTAGCTGGGAAGGAAGATTAAAACAAATCCACGCGAAATACACTTCGTTTTTCACTCGCCGTTTCGGGGTTTCGCATTCGCAGAAATCCACGCAAAAATCCGCTGCAGCACGTCTGCACCGTTGTCGCCGAGGCAGGACTCTTTGGCCAAAGTTCCATCACATTGGCCTACGGTCGGACCGTGGTATAAGATCGAGGTCGTTTCGGGGAGGGTTACCTGATGTTCTTCGTGCTCGCTGGATGTTCTTGTGCATCTTGGGGGAGGGTGCCCTCGAATGATCTCCCGTTTGGCTGGCGGAGGGTCTCATGTTCTTGGAGATGTTCTTCTGCCCTAGGTCCGGCCCGTACCCTGGCGGCTCCACCAAGGAGCAGCAGTTTTGTTGAAGAGGTCAGACACCGCAGAGTGTCTCAGGATAGGAGATTTGGAGGACAGGGAGGATCGGAAGACAGGTGAGGCCAGCAGGAGGGGGAGGGGTTCGTAGAAGGAGAGCGGCATGAACGTAGTCTTTCGAAGATCAGCGCGGATCCCCTGGCGGTGCCTCCCAGCGTGAGGAGCGCGCCAGGGTCGGCAGGGGAGGCGTCTGGAGGCGCCGCTGGGGGATCCAGCGCCGGCTGGAGGCCGCGCGGAGCTCCGGAAGGGTATGCTCCTGGCGACGCTTGCTCTTCTAGCTGCAGGAGTGCGCGCTGATCGGGCCGGGGCGATGGCGGAGACGGCTTGGTGTCGCTCGGACGTGTGCATCTGTTCTCGGCGAGGACCATCGGGGAGCATCCTGGATCTTAGTGGGCCCCGGAAACGGCAGGGCCGTTTTTTCACCGCATCCGAAAAAGTGTCCCTTGAAAATGGAAACGGCAACAAAAACGGCGACCGGAAACGGCAACAAGAACGGCTCCAGGAGTGGAATCGGAGTGGGAACCCGTAAAAGAACGGCGGCGGAGCCGGTAAACAAACGGCGTCGGAACCGGCAACAAAACGGCAAGACGGAGCCGGTAAAAAAGCGGCCCTGTCGTTTCCAGGGCCCACTGAGGCCTCGCCTGTCTCGGCGATCGGAGATCAGATGGCGGCAGGGCGCTCTGCGGGGGCAGCACGGCCCTGTCGTTGCCAGGGCCCACTGAGTCCTGGAGCATCGAGGGAAGATAAGACGCGCACGGCGCCGACAGAGGGCGCAGGGAGGGGACGCCAGAGCGACGGCAAGATGGGGAAGGCGGGGAGGAGCGGCAGCGAGGCCCGGGCAGCGGGGAAGGGGTGGTCGTAAGTCGGGCGTGTCCCTCTACAGGAGGAGTGTTCAAGAACAGTCAACAAGTAGTCAGGGGACGTTTTTTTTGACCATGTCTGAATTTTTGTTGAACGTAGTCTTTGACTATTTATTTTGTTCGCCCAAAATCCACCGGTAGTGTAAGGGGACATGCCCGACCTAACCCTGATCCTGACCCCCAGAGGTCCCCGGAGGTCCCCGCGGAGGTCCGCGGAGGCCCCCGGAGGCCCGAAGAGGGCCGAGAGCGCCCAAGAACCGTCCAGGAACGTCCGAAATCCGAATCCCCGATCCTCGAGGAGGGCTGGGGGCAGAGCTCGGCAGGAAGGGTTAAGTCGGGCGTGAATATTCAAGAATAGTCTAAAAATAGTCTGGGGACGATTTGTTGGGCATTCTTTGATTATTTTTGAACTGTTCGAGTACTTTTTACTTTTCGTCCAAACTCCGCCTGTAGGGGGACATGCCCGACCTAAAGGAAGGGGAGGGAGGTCGGAGGACGTCCACGGACCACCTCGCCGATCCTGGCTGGGGTCAGGCGCGGGTGCACGGGCCTTCGTTGGCCGGGCCGGGCCGGTTCGGGTCGGCCAGCTGGTGAGTGGAAATCCCTAGGCCCCCGAGATGGGGGATTTTTTAGAGGCTTCCCAGAAGCGGGCCGGACGAAAGGGGGGGATTGGGAAAGGGGGGGTTACGAAATCTGCTGCATGCAGCTGGTTTCGGCCCCACCGAGGGGCCCATTCCTCGATACGCCTCCGGCGCCGGGAGGCGCCAGGAGAATCAGCTACGTGAGCTGATTCTCAACCCCCCCTTTGCTATCTCCCCTTTCGCCCGGCCCGACAGAAGGGGGTCGGAGTAGATGGGGTCAGAGGGTCGTGCCGAGTCGCCGATGCATCGGCGATGCGGCTCGATGTGGAGTCCGATTTGCTTTACGTCGACGTCGCCGATGCATGGCCGACAGCGACGATGCGTCGCCGGTGCATCACCGATCCATCGCCGATGCATCGCCGATACATCGGCGATGCATAGGCGACGCGGCGCGATCCTTCGTCCCATTTACTCCATCTCATCTAGGAGACCTCTAAGATGCCCCCTCGGGCTGAGTCGGGCACGTCCGCCTACAGGGGGAAGATGCAGAAATAGTACTTAAAAAGTCTGTGGACGATTTTTGGTTTGTTTTGTTTTTTGAATATGTTTAATTTTTGTCCAAATTCCGCCTGTAGGGGGATATGCCCGACCTAACCCTCGTGGGCAATGATACAGTCAACCCGCATGAGAAGGATTGACCACCTTCCCAAGGGTACCCTTGCATCCCTGCCCCTTCGGCCCATCCTTGGCCACTTTCGCTGGCCGCGCCCCGCTCGAAAAGCTTGGAAGTGGGCGTCCGAGGCCCTTGCACCCTTATCGCTCGCGCGTGCTTCTGATACGGGCTGACTCTAATGGGGTGGTCGGACGGGGCTAGGACGAGGATAAGTCAGTTCCAGAGCGTTCGGGAATGCTCTCAGAGCGTTCCGGAACGCGCAGAGAAGGCGGCGGCGCCTGGATCTCAGAAATTCTCGATTTATCCTCATCAAATGTCATCCTCGTCCTATCGACCCCATTCGCCTGTTGATCGCCGACGGGGCCCGATGGCCCCAACCCGCCCAGCAATGCGCGGTTTCGCTGTCGTGGGCCTATCGCCGATCCATCGGCAATGTATCGCCGATTCCGGGTCGATGCATCCCCCCCAATGCCAGTCCCTCCCTTATCGTTGCCTCTCACCCCCGAGGACAGGGACGGGACGGGCGGGATACCCTCACCGTGCCTCTGGCCACTGTTGGCGCTAGTGTTAAGTCGGATAGAAAACTAGTAAACAAATAGTCAGGGGACGATTTTTGGAGTATTTTTTTATTATTTTGTTTACTTTGTTTTTTTCCTTGTCGATTTGTTTTCTCCAAAATCCGCCTGTAGGAGGACATGCCCGACCTAACGTTAGCAACTGTGACCCAGCCGCCCGAGAGGTTATGACGGGGGTCGAGAAGAAGGCCCCAGGCCAGTTCACTCGCGGTCTGCGCGAGAAGACCTCCGACTACGACGGGTTCGACACGGACCGGCTGATCCTGAAGGATTCGGGGAGAGAGAAAGGCCAAGAGGAGGATGATGGTCAGGTGTGTGTGTGTGTGTGTGTGTGTGTGTGTGTCTGTGTGGATGTCACGGCCGGGACCATGATATCTCCCAGATCTCATGGCCCCCTCTTCGTTTTCTTCTCCTGTCAACGCGTCCCCTGTCTCCACCCCAGGTCCGCACACATGCCTTGGGCCATGATGCGCTAAACCCACTCTTCCTGACCCCCGCCTTCGGCGCACCCGAGCACGAGGCATTGAGAGACCGCCCACCCAGATAAGTCGATGGAGGATTTTTGCACCAGTTGACATTCGCGGTGTACTGGTGCAATTCCTCAGTCGGTTTCGCGAGTCGTGGATACGTTCGGCAGCTCCGCCGACTACTACTCCACCCACCCAGGTGCGCTCGGACCGCAATGCCGCCCACACCCGTGGAAAGCTCCCTGGCAGCTTCCACTGAAGGGCATTTCGCCAAAGGAGGTTCTGTCAGCCCTCAAGAGTGTCGCCATCACGGAAGGGTCCGCCACGAAAGTACATGCACAGGCACCCTCCAACGGATTGTTATTGGGCCTCAGGGGAGGGTGGCGGTGTATCAACCACCACTCAAAGCCAGCGACTTTCTGCACCGCTACCCTCCCTGAAGGTACCTGCGAAGCTCGCCGAAGGGCGTCCTATGCCTATCAGAACGGCGGGCCCCGAGTGGTCTTTTGTTCTCCCTGCGCGCGCGTGGCTTGATCTAGGGTTAAGTCGGGCCTGTCCCCCTACAGGGGGATTTTCGACGAAGAATACAAAATACTCAAAACATTTCCAAAATGGTCAGGACATGCTAAAAAAATAGCCCCCCGACTATTTTTGGACTATTTTTGAATATCCCCCCTGTAGAGGGACAGGACCGACTTAGATCTAGGGGGGCTGGCGTCTGGGGGCCACGTTGGGGGGGCCAGGCTCGGGGGGGCCACGCTCGGGGGCCACGCTTGCTGGGCCACGCTCGATGGTCTCGGAGCATTTCTGGCTGAGGAGGTCCTGTTTGTGAGCACGTCGCGTCTGTTCGGAGGTGGACAGACCTCCTACCCCGACACGTCGATAGGACTTGGCCGTTTTCGGTTCGCGAGAGGGCGTCGCGGCCGTGATCCTTGCGGGTCCAGGTCCGTCGGTTTCGGTCCCGGGCCGTTTTCACTAAGGGGAGGTTTACTCAAGGGAGGTTTGTCCACCGCCGACCTATGGTCTAAGAACAGTGCTTTTCCGGGGGAAATTGTGGCCTCCTGGGAGCCGACGCGCCAAGACGGCCCAAGATTCCCCAAAAATCACCCCGAGTCGGCCGAACAGAACAAGGTCCCCGTAAACGGGCCCAAACTGCCAAACAATAAAACCACAAGGACCGGAATTGTCCAAGAAGCCTTCCAAAAAGGCTAGAGACGGCGCACAAGGAGCCCTGGACGACGGATCCGGGGCCGCACCAGACGGACCCAGGAGGGGTCCAGAAACAGATATCTGGGTGGATTTGGCCTCCTCTCCGCCTCCTGACCGATTTTCTGACCCGATTTTCTGACCCCCTGGCGGTCTCCAAGTCTGCTCGCATCTCATGCCCTTCCTCCCCCTCCGTCGCCGCGCGGCACAGGCTGCCAGGTGCCTGCGGCGGCCAGAGGGCCACGCCCTCGGAGCTGGCCCGCCGATTCGCTTTCTGAACCGGTGAGAGTCCTTGTCCCGATGCGCATGATCGCTGTCTTACGTCGGGCGTGTCCCTCTACAGGAGTAATATTCAAAAATAGTAAAAAATAGTCTGGGAACGATTTGTCGACCTTTGATTATGTTTTTATGTTTTTTTTTGAAACCTGTTTGTTTGACTATTTTTATGTTTCGCCCAAAATCCGCCTGTAGGGGGACATGCCCGACCTAATCCTTGTCCCGATACGAATCATCGCTCCCTTTGTCCGTGCTCGTTCACATGCGGGCGCCAGGCGGCAAGTGGGGCCGCTCCCAGAAGCCTTTTCGCTGCTGCAGCCTCGAGTCACCGGGCGCGCTCCACTGCTCGCAAAGTGCCTGATCGCCAACGTTTGAAAAACACATATGTTCGCCTCGGTATCGTGGATCGCAAAACCCCTGCGGGGTGTCCAGGCCATTTTCGAGTTGTTACTTTGCGAGCAGTGGAACGCGCTCTCTATTGAGAGCTTTGCTCCTACACTCAAGTCGGGCGTGTCCCTCTACAGGAGGAATCTTCAAAAATAGTCCAAACATAGACTGGGGGCGATTTTCGATCACTTTTAGACCATTTTTGAGTATTTGTTTGACTGTTTTTCATCCTTCCTCTAACATCCGCCTGCAGGGGGACCTGCCCGACCTAATTCAGGAGGGAAAAACACACAGACACAAAGAATCGTCGATTCCCTAGAAAATATGGGAAAATACGGGAAACGGGGGGGAGACAGAAACCCAGAAAACATGGGAAACTATGGGACATCCTTTTACTTGTGTGTATTTATTTCTGTGTCCCAGGGCCCCTTCACCAATACCCTGCACGCGTGGCAGTGGCCCCTCGCTGGAGTGGCCGCCGGTGCGCGGCTCCTCGAGGGGGCGGGCGCGGAGGGGCCACGCCCGGGGGCGCGGGCCGCCACATGTAGCTGCGCGCGCAGCGCTCGACTTCTGTCGGGCATGTCCCCCTGCAGGGGGATTTTCGACGAGAAAAAAATAATAGACCCCCCAAAAATAGGCAAAACATAGTCCAAAAATGGTCTGGGGACTTTTTTTAGAGTATTTTTGGATCTTTTTGGGGTATTTTTACAGTATTTTTAATTTGTCGTCGAAAATCCCCCTGTAGGGGGACAGGCCCGACTTAATGTTCGACAGGCCGCACACCCTGGGGCCACTCTTGCCCTGTGGAAGATGATCAATGGCGAAGAGGCTTGTTGCCAAATTCTAGGCCTCCCAAATGGGGATCGGAGTCGATGGGGTTGGAGGATCGCGCCTCATTGGCGATGCATCGGCGATGCGGCTCGATGTGGAGCCCGATTTGCTTCGTGTCGACGTCGCCGATGCATCGCCGACGTCGACGATGCATCGCAAGTGCATCGCCGATGCATCGCCGATGCATCTCGGATGCATCGGCGATGCGGCGCTGTCCTCCGACCCCTTCTACTCCGACCCCATATAGGAGGCCTTTATCAATGGAAAGGAGACACGTTGCCAAATAATTCCCAGATGTCTAAAACATGTTTTAAACATGTAAAACATATGTTTGGACCGTGCTTTCTACATTTACAGTTCTAAAGCACTTAGTACACACACAATTTCAGTGATGGGGCTGTTAGAGTGTCCAGTATCGCGGCATCCACAACTCTTGCCCAGGGCCATTCTTGCGCGTACAGTCGGACCGATGTATAAGGTCGAGGCCGATTCGGGGAGGGTGCTCTGGCGTTCTTCGTGCTCGTTGGACGTTCTGGTGCGTCCTGGGGAGGGTACCCGTTGGATGTTCTGCATGTTTTGGCTGGCGGAGGGTCTCTTGCTCTTGAGGGATGTAATTCAAGGGTGGAAAAACCACCCCGACCCCGACAATTCGCGTTTACTAAGCAGCCCTGGGCGTTCACTAAACAGCCCTGCCCTGTTCGATTCCTTCATGGGTGCGTTTACTAAACGGCTTCGCTGGTCGGGGTGCTTATTCTGGGGGGGGATTTTCTGCTCTCTCGTAATGTTCTGGCCTGGGTCCGACCGTAGCCGAGAGACGCGGCGGCCGCCCCGGCGCGGGCGTTCCGGGCGGAACGCCGCCGGTGCCCCGGGGCCAGCCGAGGTCGGGCGATGCTGCTCAGCTGTCGGGAGAGGCGAGAGCAGCCGGGATGGAGCGATCCACGCGGTTCCAGAGCCACCGCGCGAGCCTCGAAGAAGAGAGGGCGGGAGAAGTCCGGTGGAGGCCCATGCCGAGAAGCACCCTGCTTGCCTCCAGGGTGCCCTGGGTTTCTTGGGCTTCGAGGGTTTCGCCGTGGAAAGGGGGGCGTCCCCACGGCAAACATCAGGGGACGCCCTGGGGTCTCCGGGTTGGGCTTCTCGTGGAAGGTTTCTTGTTGTCGCGCCTCCTCCGTACTTTTATGCCGACAGCTCTTCTTTCTGGAATCGTCACGATTCGCACCCGCTGTACATGACTCCCGTCGGAAGGACGAGGAGTTGAGCTACGCGATCGGCAAGGAGGAGCCCGTGAGCCGCCATGTCTCCCCTCTGTCGATTGCGAGTCGTGGTGCTCGTCGCCTCCCTCTCTCCACATTATCCTTGCCTCCCCCACCTTCTCCCTCCCTTCCTCCCTCTCTCGGGCACGCTAGGCTTTCTGCTGGGAGTCATCTGTCGACGCTTTGAGCCGATGTCGGCCAGGCTCTCTGATGTGGAGGGGGGGAGGGTGTTTAAGAGAGGACTCTGTGGAGGTTAGAGTTGATCCGTCGCTGGCCTCAGAGCTTCGGATCGACGCGTCCCATCCGCTCCGTCTCGGGGGCCCCTTTACACTGCTCTCATAGCTCTCAGGTGCATTGTCCTCCTGCCCGTTCCCCCTGCCGTTGCCCTCCCTGGGGGAAGCGAAGATGGTGGACGAGGAACTTGATGAGCAGACTTAGGATTCTCAGGAGGTTTTGGATGCGCGGAGCGCTGGGGGTGAGGCGGTGGATGAGCAGGGAGGAAGGGGAGGCCGAGGATCAGCGCAGTAGGATGAGGCGGAAGACCAGGTCAGCTTCAAGATGCGTCAACGATATTGCAACATACCCTCCCAGTCAAAAGTCCGGTCACAAGTCTCTGCAAGTATTCCTCTCCACTGGGAGCGCCTCCTTGCATAACTTTCTAGCTGCAGAATCACACATAGATTGGATGATCAAGTTCAGGGAGTTCTCAAGCGATAGACCCGTTGTCAAACGTTTCTGTCGTCCATCCGTGTAAACGTTGCGCATGTCCATAGTTATGGTATTAAGAGTTGTGAATATCTGAAACAGAGTCTCATGTCGAAAAGGAAGCTGTTGCACATTCAGAAAGTCTCAACCGATAATGGAGGACGCGCAGACGGAGGCCGATGATCATTATCACCGCCCTACGCCAACGCGCCATCCCCAGAAGAGGACAGTGGTGGCTTCCGACTTCGTGCGTGTTGTTTTACACTTCCCGTCGTGTTGTCTGGGTGTAGCTGGTCCTGACCGATTCGTCTTCTTCTTCAGCATGTGTTGCGGGGCCTTCTTGGGGGCATCTCGGATTCCTCGAACGCCTTTGTTTTTTTCCAAATCTCCAGGGGGCTTTTTGGGGCCTTCTTTGGGGCGTCTCGAGGGCCTCCTGAGGACTTCTCGGGAGCCTCTTGGGGGCATGTTGGGGTCCTTTAGGGCCACCTTGTTGGGGGGGGCTCTCAGGGTCCCTGCGGGCTTTCTTATGAACGCTTTCTTGATGTCTTGGGGTCCTCTTGGGCTGCCTGGGGGCCCTCTTGGGCCGCCTCTTCTTGGGGACATCCTGGGCTGCTTGGGCGCAGTCTGAGGGGCGTCTCGCGCCCTTTTGGGCTGGCAGACCCCCCGCGCAGGCGAGAGCTCGAAAACTGATTAAACACCGATGGACAAGGATTGATGGTTGCCTCTTGAGGCCCCCTTCGGGGTCCTCTCGGGGCCCCCTTTCGGCGCCCTGGGCCGTCTTGAGGCTGTCTTGGGCGTTCCTGATGCCTCCCCAGCGCGATGGAGGTCTGGAGCTATCTCGACAGCACCTCGGGCATCTTGGCGCCACAAGAGGGTCGATTTAGAGCCTCCAGAGGCCCCAGAGGTGCGCCAAGGAGCCGGCCCTTCCCTCCCTCTGGCTCCCCCCTCTCCTCCCTCCCCCCCCTCTAATTGGATTTTAGGCCCAAGGGAGTGAAAAAGGGGAGGGATGGCAGCCAAAGATCTCACACGCATTTCCACCCCAGCAAGCGGGGTCGGCGGATTTGGAAGAGGATGGGAAAGAGGAGCAGGAGGAGGACGACCCTCTTTTGTCGTCGTCCTCCTCCTCGTCCTCCTCCTCCTCCCTCCGCTCTCCTCGTTGCTTTCTCCCTCCTCCTGGTTGGAACAACATCACACAAACAAAGGTAGGACTTTTTCATCGCGGTGATCGGCCGGGATTGGAGCTCGCACGTCGTCGACGGTGGGCAGTGGAAGGGCATGGAGGATAATGTTGTTTCTGAGGTCGTGGAAAAGGCCGGTTTATCTCGTCGTCGAATTTTGTGTGCGCGTGCTCGGGGGGGGGAGGCGAAGGAACAACGTCGTGTACGGAAGCGTGCGCGCGCAGTGCATCCACTGGCCGAGCTTCACGAGCGGCCTCACGACCCTTGTTCTTTGAAGCTGGAATTCAGAAGCGACCATGATACGGTCGTGCATTGGCTCAACGGCACATTGCGGTGCACGAACCGTAGATGATTTTGACCTCTACGTCGGTCCCGGGGACTTCTGTATTCTTCTTATTGTAACGGATTGAGACCTGTGGAGGCAGGAGGTGATTTTGCCTGATACGTGTACCGAGAGTTTAACAATGAAACGACGCCATGACGACCCAGGCCATTCACGCAACGCAGGCCATCGGCGAGAATTTCCCAGTTCCCAAGGAGTGGTTTGTCGACCCGAGCATGACATTGGTGGGATCTTTCGACGGAGGAAAACGGTCTGAAGGAGTGGGCGCGGGATGAGTGTTGGATATCGTAACAGGCACTGGCGGACCCCATCGATGACGCGTACGATCGATGCCCCTGGACCCGAAGGCGACGACGACGACTGCTGAAATGACGGCTGCTGCGGATTTGAGTGAGTTCCTGTATAATTTTAGTACTTTGCTTGCGAACCCGAGTATTTATGAGACCGCGCGCGTTAGTGACGCCGTGGAGAGGAGAGCGTCCAAGCGTAGGCGGATCTTTCTCGACACGCGGAGCTAGCCCTCAGGAAGACACTTTTGGGCGAGCCGGACACAGCTCAGAAGGCCTTAGAAGGACCACAGGTTCTCCTCCTTCTCCTCCTCCTCTTTCCTCCTCCTCCTCGTCGCTCCTCCTCACACCTCCTCCCTCCTCCTCCTCCTCCTCCTCCTCCTCCTCCCTCCTCCCTCCCCTCCCTCCCTCCCTCCCTCCCTCCCTCCCTCCCTCCCTCCCTCCCTCCCTCCCTCCCTCTCCTCCCTCCCTCCTCCTCCTCTCCTCCTCCTCCTCCTCCTCTCCTCCTCCTCCCTCCTCCTCCTCCTCCTCCTCCTCCTCCCTCCGCTCCTCCTCCCCGTCGCTCCCGCTGTCAGGGGGGCGGGGGACCAGGACCAGACTAGAGGGGAGGGCGGTCCCTAGGGGTTGGTCCCGGACCTGCCCCTCGAGGAACAGTGGCAGCCCGAGCCAGGCCCAGCTTGTCCCCCCCTCCTCTCGGTGGTGCACAGACCTCCTACCCTGAAACGTCGATTAAGGAATTGGCCGTTTTCGGTTCGCGAGAGGGGGTCGCGGCCGTCATCCTTGCGGGTCCAGGTCCGTCGGCTTCGGTCCCAGGTCGTGTTCACTAAGGGTAGGCTTTCTAAAGGGAGGTTTGTCCACCGCCGATCCTCCTCGGTCCGCTCTGGGCTTCCTTCTTCCTTGCGCTGCTGATCTCGCACTTGATTTTTCTCCCTTTCTTCTGCCTCCCTTTCTCTCTCTCTCTCGATCCATGCTGCCGCTGTGGGTGATTTTTGGTCTCGGCTGATGGGGCTGATGGGGGCTTCTGCGCAGCGCCTTGCACGCTCTCCTCTGCCTCCCTTCCTCTCCTCCGTCTCCTCCTGCTGCCACTCTTGGCTCCACTGACCAGCCAGCGCACTTTGGCGACTTGCCTTGGCTGTGGATGTTGTCGATGAGGTTGTTGAGCGATGGGCGAATCCTTGCGTCGGTGCCCTCTGGAGCCCCCCAGGAGGAGCAGGAGGAGCAGGAGGAGGAGGAGGAGGAGGAGGAGGAGGAGGAGGAGGAGGAGGAGGAGGAGGAGGAGGAGGAGGAGGAGGAGCTTCGAGGATCAAGGATCGAGGAGGAGGAGGAGGAGGAAGAGCGAGGAGCAGGAGGAGGAGGTTGCCCCCCTTCTGCCCCCCCGGGAGGCCGCCACGCAGAAGAAGCTCGAGAGGGCGGCGGGCTGCATACTGCAGGCGCCACCCGCCGCCGTCGGGTGGTCCTTGTCGCCGCCGCCGCCGCCGCCGTCGCCCTGTCGTCGGATCCGCAGTGCCTCACCGTCGACGGTCAGAGCAGTGGCGGGCGACCCCTGGGCCCGCCGGACTGCAGGAGGGAGGGGAGTGGGGGGGCCAGGGACACAAAGCAGTACAGTCAACCCGTATAATAAGGATGCGCGGTGAGGATGCCAGTGCCTTGAAGGGCCACGTGAGCGTTCTTCGAACGAGGTTGGCCAGCGAGAATGGCCAAGGATGGGCCGAGGAGGCAAGGATGCAAGGGTACCCTTGGGAAGGCTGCCCATCCTTGCCATGCGGGTTGGCTGCTGACTGTTGCATGAGATGCAGTTGCTCCTTTGTTTTTTGCCAGGCCCCACTCGAGACAACCCAGCCGACTGGGTTCTGCGTCGCGCGTCGGCCATCTCATCGCCTGCCCAGCTCGCCCCCGACCCGCCTGGAGCCCGTGGGGCGCCGGTCGGCACCGGCCCCGGGCCAGCGGGGCCAGGCACGTCGCGGAGGCCGGGCAAGGCGCACGAGCGCCCCTTCCGAGCCTCGCGGGCGACCTCCGAGGGCCCCCTGCGGGCAGGGTCCGGGGGGGCCGACCGACGCTGTGCGAGGGCTCTGCGTGAGTGCTGCGATCTCTCTCGGGGCCTCACAGCTTCCTGGCCTCCACGGGGCCTGGGGTGCGTTCGTTCGATCCCCGTCGCGTGCGAGGGGCCCAAACTTTGGGGAGGGCCTCTCGTGGCCGTCGATCGGGCGCCCGCGCCCTGGACGGCCGTCGCGAACGCCCAGGGCCCATCATTCGGTAGGTGGCGAAAGAAATTTCGACTCCGCCCACGGACTCGCAGAACATTATCCCAATGGGGGCCATCGACGGCTCCGGCCAGCCAGCGGGGCCGCTGGCCTCGAGGCGAGCCTTCCACCAACGTTGGCACTGGAGGGCTCCGAGGGGGTGGGGTGGGGGACCACGCTATGCACAACTACAAAGTTTACGCTGCACTGTTTTTTGTTGTCTTATGGGGATGAGAGGGACGAGCGTGAGGGATGGGGGCGGGGAGGAATGAGGGAGGAGGGAGCATGACGAGGAGTATGTATGGGCAGGAAGGAAGAAAAAGGGAGGATCTTGAGGAGAATCAGTTGATTTTCCGATGGGCTGAATACGTTGATGACGTACGCGAGCCCGCCTAGCCATAAATGCTCTCAGTGCGACATCCTGGTCAACGGTGCGTTCAGAGCTGCACGTAAGCGGAATGTGCCACGTCGATTTCGCAACACGCGTGTGGATGTGAATTGTCGCAGGCTGCGCAGGAGTAGTATGATCAGGAATAGTCGTGCAAACTTTTCTGTGTATGGAGCTATTCTGGTTCGCGCATTCACAGCCCTCTCCTAGCACGGGACCGATGCATGAGACAATTTGGGTCTCTGTGTGCTCCAGGAGATTTCTACAGGGTTATAGAGCAGGGGGAGAGCAGGAGGAGGAGGACGAGGGCTAGTGGCGCCCACTCTGCCTGTCTTGTCCCTCTTCCCTCCCTCTGTCTGGCCTCCGCCCCCAGTTCGTGGGCCACTTCGCCTTTATAGCTGGCACGCGGAAGGAGCGGCGCTGCTGCCGGGAGTTCATTAGCTGGCTCCTGCAGCAGATGCGCGGCAGCGTACCACCGGGGCTAAATTTGTTGCTTGTGTGTCAGTCCTTACACGGCTGTATTTTGGACCTGTTTTTTGCACTCCCTTCACATCTCATTGCGCTCTTAGCTCATCATCGCGTGCTCGCCTGTGCTCTGTCTCCGCCTTGATGTCGAGCGCTGCGAATAAGCATCCACGTGCACCATACATTCGTGTAATTCTATACCCCTCTCTCTCTCCCTCCCTTCCTCCCTCCTCTTCTCTCCTTCTCTTTTTCTCATGCCTCTCTCTCTCTGTCTCCATCTCTCCTTGTCTCACTAGTTTCTTTATGTTTTTTTGTTTTCCTTGTACATCTCAATTGATCAGTATCTTTCGATCTCTCACACTCCCTCCCTCGCTCTCTCCTCCTCTCTCTCTCTATATATATATATCTTCCTCTCTCTCTCTCTCCCTCTCTCTCCTTCTCTCTCCCTCTCCATCTTCCTCCTCGTTCCCCCCTGCCCCCCATTGCCCCTCCCCCCTCCCCCCTCCTCCAGTGCCCTCCCCCCCCCCTCCCTGTCTGACGAGTCTTCTGAGCCTGCCGAGGGTGGAGCAGGGGCAGCTGGGCGGCCGTCGCGGATTCATACCTGATGGAGCAGGGGATGGTAGCGGAGGGGAACGCGCACGGCGATAGAGCCATGAGCTACGCTCCCCTCGTGTTTTTTTTTTTTGCCGCGCCGCCTTTGCCCTCCAACTGAGGCTTGGCGTCGCCACCTCATTCACATTGATACCGGCAATCGCTAAACATTAATATTGCGCGCGCGGCCGGCTTCCATCTTTTGGCCAGCTATATCATATGAGTATACGCCAACACATCCGCTCAACGGACATCTTAGCCATGGCTTCAAATACATCTTCTCCGAGACTGAACTTGGGATCATTATTTACAACATTAACGTATCATAACAGTCAGACCCTGAGCCGATCAACAGGATCAAGATTATGCCCACATCCAATGTAAACAAAGGCAAGATGCTGACTACCAACCGAAAGCTGCCATGATATCACAAAGCTGTGCTCCCTGTTTCGAAGGTGTATGTACCAATTAAGGAAGAGCAATGCCACGGCTCAAGAATAATCGAAAATATCGTCTTCGAGACCGAGTTCCCTGATTGTGTCAGGGGCCCCTACTCGTTTTCTTCGCAACATCTCAGCCAGAGCTTCGCGCTGTCGTCCTACAGATACGCCGGCAGAAGATGGCCCCGGCCGCCGTGACAGTCCACGGACGGGCGCAGACGTGGTGGAGGCGGATGCCGAGTGGTACGGGTCTAACGACCCGGACAAACAACCATTGCGGGCATGCGTCCACGAAGCTTGCGTGATCTCCTCCGATTCATCGTATGGACAGGGTGAACACGTAACCGTCTCGTCGGAAGAAGGGGTTTCGGTCAAGTCGACTCCCCGCCTGATAGGGGAAACGGCTGCTGAGTCTCATCCGTGGTGCGACGCCGGGGCTTACGGTTTCGGGCCGTCCGCGATATCGGCTCAGGAACTATCGCTTGTGTCAGTGCCGTTCGACGACTGTGTCGCCAAAACGTCGTAGGATGATGTACAAGGCGAAATGGCAGAGATGATGGCAGGCGTGCCTGCGGCAGTTCATCAAAACGCCGAAGAGACTGCCGGGTCGTGAGCACCCGCAGCGAAGCAGCCTTAGAAGGCCATTAGCCTGTCAGTCAGATCCCCGCTCGTGAAGCGGACCAAGACGGAGGGCATGCCGGAGGAGTGCCAGATGCCCGACCCGGGGGGAGACCCTTGGGGCTATGCTCCTGGGCTACCTCCCCCGCAAGTCAGTCGGCGAAGGACTCCTACTTGCAGGGTGCCTGAACCTCTGTGCGATGAGGGCCCTCAACTCTCGCGCTCGCTCTCCGCGGGCCAGCGGGACGGGGCCTGGCCGACGCGGGGCATCGAGGACCCCGTCGGGCGCGTCGTCTTCCGCTCGCACGGCGCGCTCCAACGCGTAGAGTTTTCGCATCAGTGGATCGCGCGCGAACGAAGGCCCCAGATTCGCGGCGTTCCCTGATCACTGCTGCAGGAGGGATCGAGGACAGTGCGAAATGGTAGTCCGTTGTGAATGCTCGGTTAGCTCTGAGAAGTTCTTTTTCGTAGGAATAGATCAAAACAGGGTTTTGGGAGAACACTTTCCTCGTGCACTGGAGTCGTGTGTTCGGGTTCGAAAGGGCGCTCGTGGAAGCCGTTCATGTTCTCGAGCAGTTGGGGATTTGCGGCGGCGCGGAGCCCGCGGAGGGTGAGTGCCTCTGGTTCCCCCGAGTGAAGCAGAGGGGTCTATTGGGACCTCGTTGGGGCCTCTTGGGCCGTCTGATGGGGCTCTTAGCCCGTCTGTGGCGCCTTCGAAGGCCGTCTTGTGCCCCCTTGCAACAACGGGCCCGTCGGCCGCGACGTTGCGTGGAATTCGCGCGCGCGTCGCTTTTTGTTTTCGTATTGGCGGTGGCGCGCCAGGTGGCCTCGGAGCCCGAGACAGCGCGCTTGCCCCCATGGCGTAATCAGTCTGCCTTGGGCGTCGGCGCGGTCGCAACCATCGCGGCGCCGATCTCAAAAGTCGCCGACTTGGGCTTTCGATCGCGGGGGCTTGCCTGGGGCAGCTCTGGCCGCGAGGCCAGCGTGGCTAACTCGTGTGAGCGCGCTCGGGCTCAGCGCTTGTTCCCGTGGCCTGTCGCGCATTGTGTGATGGGCAATGGGGCGTCCGCCGATCGGCGCCGCGTGGTTTGCGGGGCCGCGGCCTCGTCGCGCGATCGCGCAGAGTTTGCGCGCGACATAGCGGCGCCGTGGCGCCAATCGGGGAAGCGATTTTTCAATGGCGATTTCATGCCGTTATTTTCTTAAACTGTTTAAAAAGTGTTTGAACTGTGTTTTTGGTTGCGATCGTCGTGCGTCGAGTTCTTGCGGGGGGGGGGGGGGGGCTTCTCAAGGTTAGCTGTCGCCTGCGCAACTTGATATACCTCTGCCCGGATTGTCTTCTGCCTCCTCTCGCGCAATTCCACGGCGTTCCGCCGCCTCGAAAGGGGGCGGGCCGAAGGAAGACTGCGGGGGGCAATGGCCGAGGGAAAAGGGGCCAGGAGCTCGCGCGAAGAATGCCAGATCATGATAACAGAAGTTCAACGGCGCGCTGCTGCTCGACTCCACATCGAAAACGGCCGCATCGTAATGGGTCGCGCCGTGGAGCAGGCCGAGGAAATGCAGCGGGCCATCGCCTCTCGAGCAGGCGATTCGAGCGTCGGCAGAGCGCCGCGGGCTGGCCGGCAAGGCCGAGACTTCGGCAGCCGCCGAAAAGCGCGCCCAAGACTTCGAACAGAGCGTCGCAGACAAGGCTGGGCGTGTCGTCCAGGGGGCTGGAGAGAATTAGCCGGTGACTATGGCCAGAGTCGCCGGAGAGCTCAAGGCAGCTGAGGCACGTGACAATCGAGGCGGAGGCATAGGCGGCGGGTCGATGGGCCCAGGCAGTTCCACTGACCGCCGAAGCTGTTGTGAAGAGGGCATCGGCCGACAGTGCAGAGGCGACGAGGCCGGCGCAGGGCGAGGTCAGCGACGCTCGTCGACAGGCGCGAGCCATGGTCCAAGCGGCGAGCGCGAACTGTGTTCGTGCGTTCGCGCTGCCGCTGAGGCTCGCGGCGCGCTGGAGTGGGCTCAGCGCGTCGAGCAGCGAGCAAATGGTGCGGTGACCATCGCGGCCCGGAATGCCGAAAACAGATCGCCGCGGTCCATGGGGAATGGGGGGGCGCAGCGCGAACGACTGCGCCGACAGCGTGCCAAACTTCGCGCGCGCAAGCTTCCCGGGCGAATCTTCGAGCGGCTATGGTCGCCGCCGTCGGCGCGGCTCCGCCGCGGGCGGAGGCCCCGAGGCGGGCCGCGCTCTCGCCGCGCCTGGGCGGGTCTGGCGCTTCTCGCGCAACAGAATTGCGCGCCGTGCGCGCTGTGCGCCGGGTCAGTGCGAATTTCGCTACGATGCGACTGAGCAGAAATTCCGCCATTTGCGTCGACGATTCGGCGGGGGAAGACTGGGATGCTGCGAGGAAACATGAAGGAGGAGAGAGCGAGAAACCAAGAGAGAGAGATAGAGAGAGAGAGAGAGAGAGAGAGAGAGAGAGAGAGAGAGAGAGAGAGAGAGAGAGAGAGAAAGAGAGAAAGAGGAGAGAGAGAGAGAGAGAGAGAGAGAGAGAGAGAGAGAGAGAGAGAGAGAGAGAGAGAGAGAGAGAGAGAGAGAGAGAGAGAGAGAAAAACAAAGAGAAAAGAGATATATAGATAGAGAGAGAGAGAGAGAGAGAGAGGGAGATAAAAGGAGAGAGGAGAGAAACAATATATATAAAATAGAAGAGGAGAGAGAGAGAGAGAGAGAGAGAGAGAGAGAGAGAGAGAGAAGAGAGAGAAAAAGAGAGGGAGATATATATATATATATAGAGAGAGAGAGAGAGAGAGAGAGAGAGAGAGAGAGAGAGAGAGAGAAAGAGAGAGAGAAAGAGAGAGAGAGGGGGGGAAGGAGAGAGAGAGAGAGAGAGAGAGAGAGAGAGAGAGAACACAGAGAGAGATAGAGAGAGATAGAGAGAGAGAGAGAGAGAGAGAGAGAGAGAGAGAAAGAGTTAGAGAGTTAGAGAGTTAGAGAGAGAGAGAGAGAGAGAGAGAGAGAGAGAGAGAGAGAAAAACAAAGAGAGACGGGCCCGACGCAAGGAGTAGATTTGAGGATCGGATCGCTTCCAAATCTGCTCCTGGAGCGGGGCCCTCTGACTTCCCGCTGGCGCCCAAGGCGCCTCGCGACTGCGTCGCATGCGCGTCGGGCGGCGCGGATGAGCAGATGGCAGGAGACGACGTTTCCAGACGTCTCAATGCGCTCGAGGACTCCGCCGCGGCCGCGCGCCGGAGGCCCGCGGATATGCTCGCGGGGGCGATGCGGGGTGCGGGGGGCCGCGTCGAGGCGGAGGCCAGGAGGCAGGAGCTGCGCGCAGATGAGCGCGTGGAGGCTGCCGCCGCCGCCGAAAGGCAAGCTCGGGGGGGCGAGGAGAAAGCCGGCGGGGAGGCAGCGCCCCGCCCGAAGAGAGTGAAAACATCGAAGCGAGCTCAGGCAGTCCCTGCCGCTTCTTTTATGTGCCACGTTCCACCTGGCCCAGAGAAGCCAGGCTGCGGTTTGGGCGGCGAGGGTGGCGCCTTCCATGGGGGGGAGTAGCAGTTTGAGCCGGCCGGGGCAGCGCCGGCCACGCATCCGCGCGACTCTGGCCCGCCGGGCGATGACGATATGACTCAGATGACGCTTGGGGCGAGGACTCCGACGACTCCGACTCGGAGGACAACGAAGACGAATCACCCGATGAAGAGGATAGCGATGAAGGGGGGCTGTCGGCGTGGCCGATGCAACGGGCCCCCGGGCGGCCCGCCCCGCGGCGGAGACGGAGGCGGCGCCCTCCCCGACAGAGTGCCGGGCACTGCCCCCTACTGGAACGACGCTGGCAAGACGGAGAAGGTGAATGTAGGGCCCATCCCCGACGCGGCCAGCTATAGGAAGCGGGGCAGAGGGGCGGTCCGCCGAGTCGCGTAGAGCCCACCCGACCGGCAGTGGGCCGCATATTGGATTTTGGGCGCGCCTGACATTCAGGCGTTGAAGGGCCCTTGACACCCTGACTGGCTCTTAATGATCGCGTCAGTTGTGATGAGCGGGATCGATCGGATCTCGAAGGGCCCGAAGTCGCCGCCGCCACTTTCTCGTCCGGTCAGTGAGATCGACCGCGTCTATGCCGCCATGCGCAGAGAGGAACACATGCTGGAGGGTCGTGCAATCCTTCGAACTATCGCATCCGTGAGGACCGCGGTCAGTTGTGCACGTGCTAGGTTTTGATGGGCATCAGAATTTGTTGCGCTGGCAAGAAAGCGGACGCCGATCTATCGTTTGTGCGATGTGTGGATGATGATCATGAGCGTGATGGATAAGCTTCGCAAATCAGTCCGCCTTTCAAACCAGCCATGGAAACTTCTACACAACACGTATACAGTGCCCGCGCATGTCCATGACTCTCACCGCGCGCGATCACAGGAGCGACGGGCATCGCAAAAGGATGGGATCATGCGAGTGGTCGCTGGGGCAGATTAGCAGGCGCGCGCAGACAGGCCGGGCTCCCGCGCGCGCGCCGGGCAACGGAAACAAGTAAACTCCCGCGGCCTCTCTGCGGGGGGCGCGGGCGGCGGCGGAGGTGGCGGCGGCGGGGGCGGCGGCGGGGGCGGAAATGGCGGAGGTGCAGGCTCCCTCTGCAATGGGGGCGGCCGCCTCAAAGTCGGGGGCCTGCGTCGAGCGCGCGAAGGTGGCGCGACCCCGTGCGCGCGCGACGCGCCCTCGGGCGCGCCCTAAGAACAGCGCCCCGTCCCGGGCCGCGCCGGCCCCGCCGGACGCGGCCCCGGGCGGCGACGGCGGCGGCGAGGGAAAGGGCCAGAAGATGGAGAAGCCGATGCCCGAGGGGGGGGGGAGGACAGGGGCCGCGGCAGGGGCCGAGGCCGCGGAGATGGCGGGCGAACGGAGGCGGAGACCGCCAGATATTTCAGAGGTGCGCATCCAGCAATAATTTCTTTAAGAACGGGTTGCGGTATGCGTTCGGCAGAGGCTCTTGCCCATTCTCGCAAGATAAGTGCCCGCGATGGCATCGGAAGGCCGCTGCTGAAGAAACGCTTTCTCGCGACAAGTTGGGGGCGCATCCTGAGTAGAGCGGGGAGTCAGTCCCCTGCGAGCGCAGCGCTGACCAGATCTCCGCCGCAGGTCAGAACATCCGGGGGGGCGCGCTCATGGCGGGACTGACGGCGGCAGGGCGAAGAGCAGCAATTGGGGCGGGCAAGGGGGAAGAACAGAGGCAATGCTGGAGGCGCCGGGCCGGTCAAACCTGCGCCTTTGGGAAGAACTGTTCGGGCCGGGCTGGCGCCCCAGGTTGCCCGCGACGAGGGGGGTCGTTGCCCCGTGACTTCGTCCCCGGCGTCGGCCGGAGCGGGGCCGACGCAGGCTGTCCCTGTCCGGCCCCGATTTGGGGCGCAACGGTGTGCGCTGCTTCCGAATTTCTCCGCGCTGGGTCAGGATTCCGCGCGTTGCCCTTGGGGCTTCTGGCTTGTTCAGACGAGGCAACTCGCGCGGGCCGCCCAGGCGATGATTTTTGTTCAAGCGCTTTTGGCGCCGGTCGGGCAGCCCCGCCGACTGGGCAAGACGGGCTGATCATCGACCCTGACGTCCGATGGCTGCGGTGCATCCAGGGGCGGATTGGAGAAGCCCCCGGCGATCGCGCGCGTGACCGGCCCCGCCCCCTTCCCCCTTGTAGTCGCGTCGCGGCGGTCGTCTGGTGGCGACAGAGGCCGCCCTGTGGCGCTCGCAGGCTACCGCGGTGTTCAGAGGCATGTTGTCGTGCTCGCAGGGGCGCCGTGGCGCTCGCTAGGGAAAGCGGCGCCTGCGTGCGTGCCGCGCGGTGCTGTCAGGGAACCAGTGATGTTTTGTTGCTGAGAGGCATTGGCGTGGCGGTTGATGCGCGGCGCTTGCAGTTGCTGGCGCTGAGTGGCGAAAGCGGGCACTGTGTGCGCGCGGGCGTTGTGTTGTATGTGGGCGTTGCGGTTTTCATGGTCGCCGTGGCGTGGGCTGGCGCTGCGGGCTCCAATGCAGGGGGCCGTGTCCAGGGGAAGGGGAAAGGGGGGCGAGGGGTAAGGGGGCGGGGTGGGGGAGGAGAAGCACGGCGACGATTCCGGCGACCACGATCACGACGACGCTGACGACGACGACGCTGTCGAGGACGACGATTCCGACGGCGACTCCGACGCTGAGGACGACAACGGCGATTTGAATGACGACGACCGCGACGAGGTGGTGCTCTGTGGCGTTCAAAGGCGCCGTGGCGTTTCCCGCGTTGTGTTCACAGGCGCATCGCGTTCATCGGATCGCGGGCATTTGCGTCGCTGGTCACGGGGGCGCCGTGATTGTCGGGTCGCAGGCGATAGTTTTTTTGCAGGCGCACTGCGGTGCTTGCGGGCATGTCGCGGCGCCGCAGGCGCGCCCCCGCCGCGGCGCGACCGGCGCGACGAAGCGCCCCCCAGGTCACGCGCGTGACCGGCCCGAGGAGACGAGCGGGCTCCAGGCTGGCGGTATCGCGACGTTCCCGAGCGAAGCCCTCGAACAGTTGAGGAGTGGAGGGCCAGGGCGAAGCGCTCTTCGCGGATGCGCGGGGGCCCGTCGCCGTCGCCGCGCTGGGCGGCGCTGTTGGGCGCGCGTCGACCCGTGCGCGCCCCGCCCAGCCACGGACTCTTTGGGCGCCTCGCAAGGGCCCTAGGATCAGGACGTCGCCTTGGCATGCTTTCGAGTTTGCGCCCAGGTGGGCCAGGAACAGGGAGCGGAAGGTGAAGGTGCATCGACATTTGGTTTATGATGGGCAGCTGCTTTGAGGGCGAAGTCTGGCGCCTGTGGATCGGCTGGGGGCAGCGCTCCGACGGCGAGCGAGGTTCGCGGCGGCCAATGACTTCCGACCCTCGGATGACTACGAGGGTGCTTCGGCAACAGCTGAGGTGGGCCCCCCCCTGGTCGATATCTGTGATTTCGATCCGGCGGCGCCACGAAACTCGGCGATCAGAAATACTGCGGTATTCGATCTGGGCGCGGAGTGCGCGTCGTCGTCTGGAGTGGCAACGAGCTGCGCGCCGATCGAGGCCGTCTCCTTTGCGGCACCGCGCCCGAGGCAAATGGGCAGCTCTACTCCCGGCTTGGGCAGGTGGTGCTCGAGTGGGTCAGACAGCTGGTCGACCTGCGGGCAGGATGTGCTGGGGCCGCTTGGGCCTGCCTGAATGGTGGTCTTCGACGTTGGCGATGCCCAGTCATGGGGCATCCCTCCGTCCGACGGTGCACGTGCAGCTTGAAATTCATTTGGTAGTCGAGCGGTGGCTGTCGCCAACAACCGCGGGCTGCGCTGAGAGGAGCTGGAGCACGTGTGCAAGATGCTCTGGCTCAGGGGCTCCGAGCTTAACGGACAGGGAGGGCGCCCCGTCGGAGACAACTGGCACTTCCCGCCGACGCTGCGCGGCCGCAGCGGCGAAGCCTTCGTCGAGGACGTGGCCAAGTGCGCCCTGAAGGCCTGCTGCGCGCGCGTGGAAGTCAACCGGGACCCTTCCGACTCACAGCGCGGCAGCTCTGCCGCGGCCCGCGAGAGGGCGAATTGTTTGGTCAATCGGGCTTCCATCGCGCGTAGGTCCCTTGGACGTATGCGACGCGGGCGAGGTCCTGCCATTGCGTGGGAGTGACGTGCTGGCCATGCCGGAGCTTTCGCGCGTTGATGGCGACTCGGTCAAGTTCGCGGAATTGGTGTGAGGCGAATTGCTGGCGCCGAACCCCCATGGGTCGTTGCTGTTTTGTTCGCGCCCTCATGCAACGACTTGGCTTCTCTGCCTGGAATGATCCGGACCCCCCGCTCTCGCTGGTGATCGCAGTGCCAATTGCGCGCGGGCGGCAGAGCAGTCCGAGACTGTGTGTGTGTGGAAGTTTCGAAGGCGGCAAAAGGACTGGGGGCGTCCGCCGATTGCGTCGGCGGCCCTCGCGATCATATGTCCGCGAGCATTCTCGGTCTGCGAAGATAGCCAGACTGCCATCATAATCGGACCAGGCAGAACCAGGGGGGCGCTGGGAGACGCATTGAAGGGAATAGAGGTCCGCCCAGACCACGAAGTAGACCGCGAATTCCTCTTGATGAGGCTTCCCTAAGAAGGGCTCGCTCCCAAGAAGCTCGTGATCACCCTACTGCCAGAGGATGGTTGGTGCGTCGAGAGCCGGGTGCACGCGGGCTTAAAGGCGTGGCTGTTCGAGCAGATGCGAACGTCTCGCGCGCCAAAAGCGACGCTTACTTATCTCGGTGATAGTGTTATCGAATGGCTGGCGCCTCGACGCATATATGCCGCTTTGGCCCCGAGCGCGACGCTGTGCATTTTTTTTGGATCCGGGGGGGATGAAGATGCAAGTGCGTGACAATCATCTCATCATTGCTCTCCCATTCGACTTGCCGAATGGCTTCATTGAGGCCGAGCGGCGAGCGGGCGAGCGGGTTGGCGGTTGTTCTCGCGGGCTGTCGACACCAAGCGGCTTGCCGCGCTCTCGCAGCGGGCGCGTTCGGTTTCTCGTGTGAAATTGATGGCGGCAGTAGCAATACCTTTGAAACGTTCGGGAGAGACGGTTGAGGGAGTGCGTTTTGGAGGACACCAACGCCGTCCCAACTTGCCGCGACTTCTACTCGATGGCGTGCAAAATCTTAGGGGGGGGGGGGGGGCTGGATGTCACTGTTACCTATAGCTGGTGGCTTCTTCTTTGCGCGCAAGGCGGACGGCGGCGTCGTGGCGGTCGACTCAGGTGCGGGCGGCTGGCGGCAGCATTGCTGCAGCCATCCTTCCAAAGTCCCTAGAGTCGCCCTCCGCCTGTACTTCGTGGCCCCAGCAGACAAATCCGAGGGGGCCGTGGAAGCTTCGTCCGAAGGTCGCCAAGGGCGACAATTTCGAGCTCGATTGCGGGGCAGTTCATAAGCCCTTGCCCGCTCGAAGAGAGCGGCCCCGACCGACCGGGCGATCGGGGGGCGGCGCAGATGCCCCCATAGGAAGATTTGAACGAAGCGGATCGCAGTCTGCGACAGTATTCCTGGGGAGGCAGAGCGGGCGATTCGAGAAGCCAGACGACGATTGTGCGGCAGGCGATTTTCTGCGAGCGAGACCTTCTGCGAGCCGCGCCATGTCGACCCCGCAGAAGACGAGCTCGCTGCCGACAGGGAAGGCTGGCATCGACCGTGGGGCAGGGGCACCGGCTAACGTGGCAGCCGACGTGCGCTGGGCGCGCCGAACACAGGAGGACCTTATGAAGTGCCGGCGCGCCAACCAGGCCATGAGGGAGCAAGAGGATATTCCCAAAGAAGACGATCAGGCGCCCCGCGGCCGCGCCGCGGGCGCCCCGCCAGGCACCGGGCGCCCGCAGAGAGGGGCCAGGGCCAGGAGTGCTGACCAGCTGCGCAAGGCGCCGAGAGATGGAGCATATCTACGCGGAGACGATGGCTTTCCGCAGATTGGGTGTCTTTCGCGGGGGCGGCGCGAGGGGCTTCCTTGGCCGAGCGGGGTCCGCGCCCAGCTAACATGCCATCCAAAAGGTGTCTTTCAAGCATCTCGAAGGCGCCCTCTCTACATCAGAGGAGGGGCCCTCGCGAAGGAGGTCCGCTACATCGACCTAAACCCATGGCCCCCCAGCCCCTGCGTGCCATCGGGGAGAAGAACCAGAAGGAGCGGGCGCCCATTTAACAGGCGCGCCTTCAGCAGGTCTACCTGTGCCCTCGCCTGGGTTGCCACTGCGCAGCGTGCAGCGAGGTGGCGCAGGGTGCCCATATTCTACCCCTCATCATGTGCCAGTTCAGCAGCGCAAAGACGGCGCTACACATGGATCTTTGCGCTCCTCACCAGTGTGTGCGTAGTCATTGGATGGGTGGCTATATGCATGACGCTCGCGCCGAAGCCAGTGAGCATGAGAAGGAGATCTTTGACACTTGGTGCGATGGCCAGATGGCGGAGCAGGGGTTCAGAGAGCTCGGGCGACTCGATGTGCAGGTGAAGGAGCAGGTGGGCGCCGACGGGGTGCAGGGCGAAGAGTGCGAGTAGTTCCTGAGGGGTCTGGAGGCCGGCATGAACGTCGAAGAAGCAGAGGAGCTTCGCGGCTGTGCTGCGAGCCCCGCACCCTGGGCCCCCGACGGTCCGAGCCTCGACTGGGGTGTCCCGCCTGTCGAGGCAATCGAGACCGAAGGCGCCAATTAGGAACGACCTGCTGGCGCTGGGGCTCGCATCTCGCCGTGAGCAACTGCGCCTGCCTCGGAGGAGTGGTCGCGCTCCGACGAGGGCAGCGAGTCGGAAGAGGGCAGCGAGTCAGAAGAAGGCAGCGAGTCAGAGGAAGGCGGCGAATCAGAACCCCAGGAAGAGGCCGACGGAGAAGAGCAGGAACCAGAAAGGAAGGCTGAAAGCGGATCGTGCTGGCTGTGCCAGCACATCCCCAGCCTGCGCCACTCAGCGAAGAGAGCCTGAGGCAGAGCCCGTCTCCCTCGCGCCGTCTCTGGTCCCCCTGGACATCCTCGCCAACGAGCACCCGCGAGCTTGGGGGCCGAATCGCTTTCGGCTCGCGGGGGTGCCAACGCCGCCGACGCCCAGGTGTCCATGGGCGAGTTGCGGCGGCTGCGGGGCGAGAAGGGGGGCGCGGCTTGGGAGCGCGTCGAGCATGTCCCTCGCTGCCCGCTCTTGCCCGCGCCACCGGGGAGCGAGGGCAGAGGTTTCCAGGCCGCTGTTCCTAGCGTCGCCGGAAGGCTGGAGGAGGCGCGCGACTCCCGCCCGGCGTTGTGCGCATTCAGGGGCTTGTATGAGGACTTGCAGACCAGACAGCCGGAGGCCGCGAGGGATCTCATCGGCGACGCGCTACCAGAACGACGCCGAAGCTGCGCGGCATGGCCGGTCGTTGCCTCGGCGTGCGCTTCAAGGCTGCCGAGTCCCGCGAGCTCCCCGACATGCTTCGCGCATTCGCGCCAATGCATCTGCGCGAGAGATTATCCACGCGCGCTTGGCGCAGTGATGTCGGGGGCGAGGAAGCCGAACGACTGGCCTTGCTCGTTGTCAATCTGGCGAGGCACAGCGAGGCGCGCGTGCAATGCTTGGGTGGTTGGGTGGGGGCTACGGCAGGGCGCGGGCGCGCTTCTTACGCGCCTTAGCTACGTTGCCCGAAGACACCGTTCAAACGCTGGGCGTCGACATGGCAGAAGATGACGACGACGCCGTCGCCGAGCCGCCCAATTGGGGCGAGGGCATCGGGCGCGCGCGGCCGTCCGGCGACTGTCGCACGCGGCCGCGAAGCCGAGAAGCCCGCAGTCAAACCGTTGGTGTTCATCGCCTGCAGAACTCACTCGCTTCGAGTGTTTGCGCCCGAATGGATCTACGTCAAGTGCGAGCCGTCTGCTTCAGCATGCGGCCAGCGTCGCGCCTCTCGACGTCGCTCCCGCGTTTCAGTCGACGGCTGTGCAGGTCGTGGCTCCAGAGAAGGACCTCAGTGGAACGCGCCAGTACAAGTGCCTCAGCGTCTTTCCCAGTCACAGAGCCAAATACCTGGCTTTTCACGAAGGCGTCGTCGAACCGGAGGAGGATGGCACCAACGGGGCAGTCGTTCAGGCCCGCCGAGTTTCTGAGAGCAGGCGCGGGCAGAAACCCGAGAAGTTCCCGCGCTGGTTTTGGCCGCGTGGGTGGTCGAGGGAATGCGGCGCACAGCGTCTTCATGCAAGCGTCTTCAGCCAGCGCGGCCCGCATGCGATGTCAGGTTCGTGCATCGTGACGTTCGCGTCGCGAATATTTGACGCGGCTGCGTTCTGGATTCTCCTGGACGGCTCCCTCGCCTCGGAGTTCCGTCCGGACTGGAGTGACGTGCGTCAGATCTTTCGAGTCGCCGTTGCAGGGGTCGTGGCCCCTGCAGTCTCGTGGGGCCTGGTCTGCGACTGGCGGTTTCACGGCGTGAAGATTGAATCGAGGCCGGGGTCGGGCTGCGTCGATTGGATCAAAGCACATTAGTTTTTTCCATCGAATCGGCGGCGACGACGACGCCCTCCCGCCAGCGGAGTTCAAGGCGAAGCTGCTCCTGCCCCCACCGTTTTGCGATGATTATCTCCCTATTGCGGTGCATGCAGGAATCGCTGAGGAGCAATCCGCTGTCTTCATTGTCGGGTGCCCATATTTCGTCTCAGAGATAGAGGTCGAAGGGCCCGGCTACGGTGCGAGCTCCACATGCTGGGCCCCAACATATGCGCCACCACTAGGCGGCCCGCTAATCGCAAGTACCTGTCACGCGGTCACTCGCGCAGATGGCGGCCGCACTCGGTCGCGAATAATCCCACGAACCCTCTGGGCGTAGGCGGTTTAGGGCGGCTCCTCTTCCATCCCCTTTCCCCCCCCATCGGGGAGGGGTCCCCCCCCCCCCCGGAGCTAGACAGGGCGCCCGGGGAGCGGTCAGGGCGCCCGAAAAGGCCTCGGCGAGGAAGCCGTAATCAATGGGGTGTTTCACTATGGCATTGGCCTCAGGTTGGCCTCTCGGGGGGGCGAAGCTAATTCAGGACCCCCCCTGCAGTGCTCTACCTCCTCCGAGATGGCCCCGCGAGCGCTCCCAAGGCTCCCCGGGGCGCCCCAAGAGGGCCCAAGGCGTGGCCAGGAGTCCCCGAGAGGCCCCAGAAGGCCAGGACGCCCCCACGAGGCTACCAGGAGACCCCCAAGAGGCCCCAGAGGCCCCCCAGAGGCACCCCCCGGCGAGAATGCCCAAATAACTGATTCGATTAAGGTTTTGGCTACATTTTGGCCTCCTGAGGGGGGGGCGCCGATTGAGGTGGCTTTCTCGCTTTTTCGCTTACGATGGCCACCCGGGGCCTCAAGATGGCTCCAAGATGGCCCAAGAGCGCTCCAAGAGCGCCTCCGAGGCTCCCACGAGCGCTTCAAGAGGGCCCCAAAAGGCGCCCAGGAGGCCCCAGGGGGCCCCAACGCGCTGCGAGGCACCCAAGACGCTCTAAGAGGCGTCCGGGACCGCCAAGGCCCCCAAGACGCTCCAAGAGGCCCCGAATGGGGGGCCCGTCCTCTGCTTGCTGCCCACTTCCCTGATCGAGGCAAATCCTCGGGGCATCGTTTCTGAATGGGCTGGTGGGGTGATGCGAAGCGTCTAGAATTGCCCCCAAGCTCCCTATGGCAGCACGGTGGTGGCGCAGCAGAACGATGGACCCCCTGGGAGTTCTATACGCCACCCCGAAATATACACCGCCATAATGCGTTGTATGTTGCGCATGCAACCGCGTGCCCAAATGACGCTGCGCACGCGACACGTGATCACTGCGAGATTTGACGCACCCTGCAACCAACCGCCGAAACAGTAATCCAATCAACCCTCATGACAGAAAGCCCGCCCGCGGTGGTGATGCATATGCGTGGGCCCCCGACCAGAAGGCATCGGGCTGGGCCCATTTGCATTGCGTTTTCTGGACTTCCCTATCCGTCTCCAGACGATCTGGCGGCGTGCGCGCGCTGACGGTAGAAGGCGCAAAAGTGGGGGGTGCTGGATCATGGATCATGCGCCGGGCGCGCGCCGGCGCTCCGGCCGCGGGCCAGAGCGCAATCGCCCGCGCAAGGGTCTGGTGTCCCCGCGCAAGAAGGGGGCTGGCCCTCTCTCGGCAAGCCAACCCCCTCCTCGGGCCGTTCGATTGGGATTGCTCGCGCCCTTGGGACATCGAGGCAGATGAACCCTCGAACGGCTGGAGGCAGCGGCTTGCCAACGTTTGTCGCCCTGAGCCGTTCCTCGCGCACGCGGATCTGAAGGCGGAATTAGAGGGGGGGCCGGAGCAGCGTTGGGGGCCGCCGGGGGAAGTTGACGCCTCGGCGGCTGGAGAAGGGGCGCCTGCATCTGCTGATTGCGTCGGCAGTGCCAGGGCCTCTGGCGCCCGTGGCAAGCGGGGTGGGATGCGCCCGTCGTCGACCCGGCCCTGGAAACGCCCGCCGTTGGCGCGCGCGTCCATTGGGGGCTCAGGGCAAGGAGGCACCAGAGATGAAGGGGTGAGGCGTCGCGGTAGCCAGGGGCCGCGAAATCGGCGGGCTATCGCGCGTTTTCCGTCGGCAGCAGCATCCTCGAGTTCTGCCCCAGACCCCGCGGCGAGGAGGCGCCGGTGCACAGGCGTCCGACTCAGGGCTGCGGGGGAGGAAGAGCATCCGCGCTTTCGGCGGCGCGGGGGCTCGCAGAGCCGCTGGTCGCCATGGAACTCAGGATGGGGCTCAGGCAACTCATCGGCGCAGCAGCTGGGGCCGCGGCGATCAGCGGAGCGAGGACAGGCGCGGGCGAAGCGAGAAAGGCTGGGGACATAGCGGAGCTGTGCTCTGACTGTCTTCAGGGCGCGATGCAGCTGTGCTCCGAGCGTTCTGGCGTGAATCGCGGCGTGGCGGCAGGCTGCGATGACCGTGTCAGGCGGCGTGCGCCGGCGCGCTCCTGTCTGCGTGGGACTCGCCAACTTGTTTCGGCGTGCCCCCAAGGGCCCCGTCAGGGGCGCCCCCTCCCCTTCCGCGCCCAAGCCTTTTTTTTGGTTGGCGCCGCGGGGGCCGAACTTCCTTGGGGCGGGGTGAAGTCTGACTTCGGGCCCGAGGGGCGCGTCCCGCCGCAGCTTGGGGCGTTGGCTACAGGCTGACGCGCGCCCGCGCGCGGAGTCCCCGCGCCGGGCCGGCCGCGTGCGGGGGCCTCTAGCTGCGCTCCCCTCGCGTGTTCTTTTGCCGCGGCGCCTTCGCCCTCAAACTGAGTGAGGATTGGCTGCGCAACCTTATTTACATTGGCATCGACGATAGCTGTAGCTGTGCTGGGTTAAAACGTGCTCGCGCGCGCGGCCGGCCTCCCTCTCTCGGCAGGCTATATCATACTCATCTACATTGACACATCCGATCAACTGCCGTCCTAGCCATGGCTTCACGTTCGTCCTCTCCGAGACTCAACCTGGGACCACGAATTAAATATGATTTATCAGAACATGCATACCAAGAGCCTGTCATCAGGAACAAGATCATGCCCGAATCCACGATGAATTGGCAAAATGCTGATAGAGAGATTTCTGGTGGAGAACAGTGGGGAGGGGGCTTGCGACGCGCGCGTTGGCGACGGCAGCGGGGGTGGCCGCGGTTGCGAAGATAGGAGCTGGGTGGGGGGCGGAAGAGATCGTGATCCACAAGGACACCGCATAGCCTCCTAGATCCTCTAAAACCCCATTGCCGCCTCCCTTTCCCCTCCTCGAATCTGATTGCTCCTCGTCCTCGTCCTCCTCTGTGCTCCTTCCCAATCTTTGTTATCCGTCTCACCGTTTGGAACAATGGTCTCTTCCTCCTCTTCCTCATCCCCCTCCTCCTCCTCTTCCTCCTCCTTCATTTTCTCTCAACCATAGCTCTCCTCTCTCCTCCTTCCCTCTTTCCTCTCCCTCGTGCTCTTCCATCCTCCTCTTTCTTTCCTTTCCCTTGTGCGCTTCAATCAAAATGCGACCCTCATGCTTCACCTCCGTGATGATATGCAGTCATTTCATATCGAGATTTGCCAGTGCGTGTGCTTTATGGCCCCAGTCGTTTTGGGTTTGTGGTCCACCCTTTTCCCCCCATATCCTAAGGATGGGGTTCTTGTCGTTCCCCATATCCTAAGGATGGAGTTCTTGTTATTACCCCGACCGCGCGGAACGAGAACACCTCCCACCCTCAGTTCATCACTCTCTCTGACTCACTCACATGCAGACTCATTTATATTCAAACTCATTCATACTCATATGCGCTCGCTCTTAGATTCCCGATACTCAGGTTTCCCATGCTCGGGATCACTCATACGCAGACTCACTTACGCTCATGGTATTTCCGCGCTCAGACTCACACGCACGTTGTGAGGATGTCTCAGGCGAGGCGCTGGTTTCAGTACTCCCAATGGGGGGACGCCAAGAGGTATTGCGCGGGCCCGTTCGCGCCCAGGTTAGGAGAATGTCTCAGGCGGTTTGCCTGTTTGTGTGCTCAACATCCTTCTCTTTCGGAACAGCTTCCGGGGATGTCTCAGGCGAGGCGTTGGTTTCAAGGGACGCCAGGGGGTATTGACGGGCCCGTTCGCGCCCAGATTGGGGGGATGCCTCAGGCGGGTTGTCTGTTTGGGTGCCCAACATCGTTCTCTTTCGGAACAGTTTCCGAGGATGTCTCAGGCGAGGCGCTGGTTTCAGTATTCCCAAGGGGGTCGCCAGGGAGTATTGCACGGGCCCGTTCGCGCCCAGATTGGGGGGATGCCTCACGCGGTTTGCCTGTTTGGGTGCCCAACATCTTTTCTCTTTCGGAACAGTTTCCGAGGATGTCTCAGGCGAGGCGCTTGTTTTCAGCACTCCCAGGGGGGGGGGGGGGCGCCAGGGGTATATCACAGGGCCGTTCGCGCCCAGATTGGGGGGATGTCTCAGGCGGGTTGTCTGTTTGTGTGCTCAACATCATCCTCTTTCGGAGCAGTTTCCGAGGATGTCTCCGGCGAGGCGCTGGTTTCAGCACTCCCAGGGGGGGAGGGGGGGGGGGGCGCCAGGGGGTATTGTACGGCCCCGTTGTCGTCTTCACGGGTGGATTTTGCTGACAGGTGTTCATAGGGGACGGAGGGGTAAGAGGAGGAGGACAAGGAGGAGGAGGAGGACAGAAGGAGGAAGCATATATTCAAAGTCGTCGTAGTCGTCGGCGTCTTTCTCGGTTTCGTTTTCCACGTGGATTCGCTGACACTCGGATATTGAAGAGGACGATGTCTTCTACCGAAGTCTGCCATCGCTATGACCGTGCGGAGAGCGAGAGAACTCCCATCTCCCACCCTCAGATCATCATTCTCTGACCCACTCACATCTCACTCATATTCAGACTCACTCATACGCAGATGCACTTGCTCTTAGATCCCTGATAATGAGGTTTCTCATGCTCGGGACCACTCATATGCAGACTCACTCACACTCCTGGTACTTCCGTGCTCAGATTCACAAGGTGTGAGGATGTTTTAGGCGAGGCGCTGGTTTCAGCACTCCCAAGGGGGGGCTGCCAGGGGGTATATCACGGGCCCGTTCGCGCCCAGATTGGGGGGACGTCTCAGGCGGTTTGCCCGTTTCGGTGCTCAACGTGCTTCTGTTTCGGGGCAGTTTTCGGCGCCCTGACAGGTGTTCAGAGGAAAAGAAGGAGAAAGAGGAGGAGGAGGAGGAGGAGGACAAGGAGGAGGAGGAGGAGGAGGAGGAGGAGGAGGAGGAAAGAAGGAGGAAGCAACTAGTTAAAGTCGTCGGAGTCATCGGCGTCTCTCTCGGCTTTGCCTTCCACATGAATTCGCTGACGCTCAGATTTTGAAAAGGACAATGCCTTCTACCGAAGAATGCCATCACTATGAGATGCACATATGGGGATCTCCGCGTCGAGTAATTGTGATCCCGATGCAGCGTTGACCTGCTTTCAGGATCGGCGCATCTCTCCTACCATTCAGAATGGCACTCAGTCGTCTCAGTGCGGGTCACACTTCTGGATTGGATTCTTTCCTCGTCGCTGTCGCCTCCTCCTTTCTCTGCCTCCGCCGTCCCATTGTCCTCGCACTTTTGCTCCTCCTGCTCCTGCTGCCGTTTCTGTTGCTGCTGGTCTTCCTCCTCCTCCTCCTCTTCTCTCTCCTGTTCATCATTCTGCTCATCCGCCACCTCCTCCTCCTCCTCTTCCGACGTACACAGCTCCCCTTTGCGATTGCGGATCACACGATGAGGGTTGTTTGGGGGGTCAAGGTCCGTTAGGACACTCGTCGGAGGATGTAAGGAAAAAGGCGATGGGAAGGCCTCCCCCCTGGAGGAACATGTGGGGTTGGAGGGATCCTGCCCAGGTCACCATCCCAGACATCTCCCGCCGAGATGACGCGACGGAGGCGCCCCTCCCTCCCTTTATTTTTACCCTGCCTACCTGTTTGGCAGAATGCCCGTGGGTCCGTCGGTCTGCCTGTCTGTCTGCCTGCCTGTCCGTCCGTCCGTCCGTCCGCTTGTCTGTCTGTCTGTTTGACTGTCTGTCCTGCTCGTTCCCTGTCTCTGTCCCTGTCCGTCTGTCCCTCTCTCTCTCTCTCCCTCTCTCTGTCTCTCTACTCTGCCTCTCTGCCTGGGTGCATGATCTCCGCGGATCCTTCGTTCTTTCTGAGGGAGGAGGTTGAAGGAGGGAGGATGGACGCGGCTCCTCCTCGTGGTACTCCTCCTCCTCCTCCTACGCCTCCTCCTCCTCCTCCTCCTCCTCCTCCTCCTCCTCCCAGGGCCTGCGCCCCAAGCATCGGCTCCTCCTGCTGCTGCTGCTGCTCTGCCCCCCCGTCGTGGGCTGGCCTTCGAGGTGTACATCCCCGCGAACTGCAAGGGCTGGGTCACCGGCAACCGCGGGAGCGAGCTGCGCAGGATGGAGCAGGACGCCGCCGTCTTTCAGAGCAGGAAGTGGTACCCATACCTCTACCCTCCCCTCGTTGTCTCATTCTTGGGCCTCCTGGGAGTCCCTCGTCGCCACCGCTGGATTCGCCTCGAAGTCTTGGTCAGAACGCACCCCAGGAGAGGTCTGGGGAGTGGCGGTATCGGTACCTTGTAGTTTCCCGGGTCTTCGTCGCCGTCGACGAATGGGGGCGGGCGGAAGGAGGCAGAGGCCAAGGCGGAGGGGGAGGGGGAAAAGAAGGAGGGAGGGGAATGGAGGAGGAGGAGGAGGAGGAGGAGGAGGAGGAGGAGGAGGAGGAGGAGGAGGAGGAGGAGGAGGAGGAGGAGGAGGAGGAGGAGGAGGAGGAGGAGGAGGAGGTCGAGTCGACGCCAGGTCGAGCGAGTCAGAGGGCCCCGCCTACTCCCACCCTCCCCCCCCCCAGTACAGTCATCAACTGCGGCACAGCTTGATACGGGGAGTGGAACGCGTTCCCAACTCGCAGGCGGAAGGCGCTCGCGCGCGGTCTCGCCTCGTGCGATTCGGCGAAGAGAAGACCGCGCGGCGCGGGCCGCGCAGGGGGGGGAGCGGCACAGCTTCCACTGGGCGCGGCGAAGACGAAGCATGCGTTGAGCGCTAAGTCGGGCATGTCCCTCTACAGGAGGAATCTTCAAATAACAAATAGTCTGGGGACGATCTTTTGACTATTGTTGACTCTGTTTTGACTCTTTTTTAATCTGTCCTCCAAAAGCCGCCCGTAGGAAGACGTGCCCGACCTGAAGCATGCGCCGCGCTGACACAGCATTGCCACTTTCACCTCACAAGCTGCGCGGCGTCTGGGCGAGGTCGGCGTTTTCGCCCGCTGTCGCGCGGCCCCGCTGCCGCGGGTTCGCTTCCGTGCGCTGCGGCGAACGAGCCACGCGACGCGCCCGCGCTGGAACGCCACTTCCGACCCAAATGCGTACCCATCGGTCGTTTCAAGCAGGTATTTGTGGATTCCCAGATTCTAATCTACTTTAAGCGCCTTCCTACTTCAACGATCGAGTGGCTTCACTTTTTCCCCCGTCCTCCTCAGGGGGCGGACGGAACCCAGTCTTCTTTCAACGCCTTCCATGTTTCTACTTACTTCTTCCGACCGATGGGTACGCAACTTGGGCGACCGCAACAAGTCGACCACTCGCGCGGGCCCCCCAGCATTGGATAGCGACAGGTATGCGCCGCGTCGACTTCTGGACGGCCGCCCTCGGAAAGGGGATCGTCGTCTTGCGGCGGGCCCACCTCGTGAACAATTGCCATCACCCGCCAACCTCGAGCACACTTGCCATCATCCACGACGCTGTGTCCCCCTGGGCGCGTGCGTGGCAGGGCGCGGCTGCGCCCAGCACGGTGCGCTCGTGCCGTGGCGCGAAGGGGGGGGGCCTGAGAGTCCCGGCTGGGGCAGCAGCTAGCTGTTGGCCCGCAGCCGTCTTAGTTGCAAGCAGTGGCGAAGCGTCCTGGCCTGCCTGTAGGCTTACCAAACAATGTTCTAAGAGCCGTTTGTGGTTTCCACCAACTGTTCTTATCACATTTCTGGCAAGGACTGTTTTGTTTTAACACAGCGGGTTTATGTTCTAATAACATTGTTTCGGTTCTTAGAACATTTTCGGGTTCTAAGAACATCTCGTGGTAGGCCTATAGGAATACTGGGACGCTCGGTCCTTGCTCAATAGTTCACCTCTCGGTCCTCCCTCCATCCTGAGATGCTCCCTGGCGAGGATAACACGGAGGAGCCGGAGGAAAGAGGTTGGACTGGGGAGGGGGAGGGATGGGTCGGACGGAGAGGAGACAGAGTAGGAGCAGGACGGAGGATTGTGCCAGCTTTAGGAGAACGAGGCGAAGGACAATGAGGCTGGGGAGGGAATGAGGATGAGTTGAATGATATTGATGAGCAAGAGGAGGAGGAGGAGGAGGAGGAGGAGGAGGAGGAGGAGGAGGAGGAGGAGGAGGAGGAGGAGGAGGAGGAGGAGGAGGAGGAGGAGGAGGAAATGGACATGAGAGAGTAATCAGGCGTCAAGAGTGCCAGCTCGAGCGTGTCAGCTGGCACCGCCCGCTCCCACCCACCCCCAATCACGGTGGAATTGACTTCTACGCAGCTCGCCAGTTGACTGTTTGCAATGGGGCCACGAAGCTCGGATGCGTGAGGTCCGGCACGAAGCGAACATGACGTAGGCCGCGCTTGCCTGAGTGGAATACATGACGACCGCCGCACCCCAGATCCCAACTCAGTGTTTGTGTCCTACTTCCCATCATCGGCCAGCATGGTGTACACATCGTAAGGGGGTTCATTGTAGACTATGTGTGTAGGTGGGGGGTATCGACGGGAATCGTTTTTTCCGTTTCCAGTGGGTTCGCATGCAGATTGATCACGGGCTCTTCGCGTACGTTTGTGTTGCGGTACACTGAACCCATCGTGGGTTTTTCGCGCTTCTCTTTTTCCTTGTGCAATCCCATGTGTTTGTTCCTGTCTCTTCACTTTTTCCCTCGCACCCGTTCCCCTCCTTCTGTCTGCTTCTTTACCTCTTCCCTCCTCCTCTCATTGCCCTCTCCTCTTTTCTCTCTTCGCCTGTATCCACATTGCTGTTCTCTCTCTCTCTCTTTTTTTTTTGTTGTTCTCTCTCTCTCTCTCTCTCCTTCTTTCGCACAGTCTCTCTCTGACTCTCATTTTTTCCCCACCATCCTGTGGTGTTGGGTCCTCGTTTTGAAGAGACAGCGCCCGCTCCCGCTCCCGCTCCCGCTCCTCCTCCCCCTCCTCCCTCCTCCCTCCTCCCACCATAATCATCGTCATCATCCTCCATTTCGGCACACCCCTCACACGTTTCGTGGCCCCATAGGGAGCCCCACCGAAGGCCCCAGTGCTGCCGCCCGCATGCGTCACGCACACCCAATTCGGCACACCCCTCACACGTTTCGTGGCCCCATAGGGAGCCCCACCGAAGGCCCCAGTGCTGCCGCCCGCATGCGTCACGCACGCCCAATTCGGCACACCCCTCACACGTTTCGTGGCCCCATAGGGAGCCCCACCGAAGGCCCCAGTGCTGCCGCCCGCATGCGTCCCGCACACCCAATTCGGCACACCCCTCACACGTTTCGTGGCCCCATAAGGGAGCCCCACCGAAGGCCCCAGTGCTGCCGCCCGCATGCGTCCCGCACACCCAATTCGGCACACCCCTCACACGTTTCGTGGCCCCATAGGGAGCCCCACCGAAGGCCCCAGTGCTGCCGCCCGCATGCGTCCCGCACACCCAATTCGGCACACCCCTCACACGTTTCGTGGCCCCATAGGGAGCCCCACCGAAGGCCCCAGTGCTGCCGCCGCATGCGTCCCGCACACCCAATCGGCACACCCCTCACACGTTTCGTGGCCCCATAGGGAGCCCCACCGAAGGCCCCAGTGCTGCCGCCCGCATGCGTCCCGCACACCCAATTCGGCACACCCCTCACACGTTTCGTGGCCCCATAGGGAGCCCCACCGAAGGCCCCAGTGCTGCCGCCCGCATGCGTCCCGCACACCCAATTCGGCACACCCCTCACACGTTTCGTGGCCCCATAGGGAGCCCCACCGAAGGCCCCAGTGCTGCCGCCCGCATGCGTCACGCACACCCAATTCGGCACACCCCTCACACGTTTCGTGGCCCCATAGGGAGCCCCACCGAAGGCCCCAGTGCTGCCGCCCGCATGCGTCCCGCACACCCAATTCGGCACACCCCTCACACGTTTCGTGGCCCCATAGGAAGCCCCACCGAAGGCCCCAGTGCTGCCGCCCGCATGCGTCACGCACACCCAATTCGGCACACCCCTCACACGTTTCGTGGCCCCACCCCACCGAAGGCCCCAGTGCTGCCGCCCGCATGCGTCACGCACACCCATTCGGCACACCCCTCACACGTTTCGTGGCCCCATAGGGAGCCCCACCGAAGGCCCCA